GTCCATAAAAGCCCGATAAGTTCTTTACTGGTCCTTCATCCTGGGGGGTTAGGGTTTAGGGTTTAGGGTTTAGGGTTTAGGGTTTAGGGTTTAGGGTTTAGGGTTTAGGGTTTAGGGTTTAGGGTTTAGGGTTTAGGGTTTAGGGTGAATCTGAGGTCCTGTTCGTCTTCACTTCTTTTGGGCTTCGATTGTAGCGAGAGGCCCGGACCATGTTAAGGGACCAGGAACGTACCCTTGGACAGAGGAGAGAAATTTCTGCGAAGGACGTTGCCCAAACCCAAATGGTCGTCCGCAGATCTCACTCCACCCTACAAACCCTGACCTCCAAACAAAAACGAAGCCATAATCTCCTTCGCTCAGCCCGGGTTTAGGGACAGTACCGAGCCTCCTGACGAAGATGCAGGGGCTGGCGAGGGGGGCTGTGCGTGGTCCTGCTGCGCATCCCTGCCGGACGCCAGGAGGAGATGTGGCGAGAGCGCTATAGACTGTGAATCCCAAACCCTACACGCTAAACTTGGGTTTAGGGTTATAGGGTTATAGGGTTATAGGGTTATAGGGTTATAGGGTTATAGGGTTATAGGGTTATAGGGTTATAGGGTTATAGGGTTATAGGGTAATAGGGCTATAGGGTTACGGGTTTAGGGTTGAGGGGTTAGGGTTTTGGGTTTTGGGAACCCAAAACACTGGTCGAGTTCCGAGGCTTTTGGTTCGGAAGGCTCGCATGCCATTAGCCCTTCCTCGGCGTGCAAGTTGAGGGTGCTTTATGGGTAGTTCTCGACATTAGGGTTTAGGGTTTAGGGTTTTAGGGTTTAGGGTGCTTTATAGCATTCAAGTAGAAGGGTTGAAGGTTTTGAGGTTTGGGGGCTGAGGCTATCAGCGTCTGAAGCTGGCTCCTGTGACATAGATGATGGCGGTTTAGGGTTTAGGGTTTAGGGTTTAGGCTTTAGGGTCCTTTGACGCTTTTGATCTTGTGCCCAGGGGCCCGCAGACCCTATGACCCCACACCCGACCTGAGACCCAACAAAAACCGAACAGATTGGCAAGGTTCAAAAACGGGTGGAGTTTTTTTTTGGGTCTTTTTTTTTTTTTTTGGGGCCTTCCTTTTTTTTTCTTGGTCGATTCTCTTGGTTTTCTCTAGGAAACCTACTTTCCTTACATTTTGGACGGATTTTCTGTCATTTCCCTTAGGTTTTCGTTGGTTTTTCATAGGGAAAAACCTATGTTATTTTTTACATTTTGGACGGATTTCCTGTAATTTCCCTTAGGTTTTCCTTGGTTTTTCTTAGGGGGAAAACCCTATTTTCCTTACATTTTGGACAGATATCCTGTCATTTCCTTCGTTTCTTGGGCTTTGAAGCACGCTTGGTACGACTTAAAAGAAGCGGGAGGGGGGGTCGGGGGGGGGGCGGGGGGGCGCAGCCCCCCCACTTGCAAACACCTCTTGGGCTTTGAAGCACGCTTTGCACGGCTTCCAAAAAAAAAGAGCGGGGGGGTTCGGGGGGGGGGCGCAGCCCCCCCCATTTGCAAACACAATGCTCAAACGATGTTTTTCAACTAGTTTCTCGGGCTTTGAAGCACGCTTGGTACGACTTAAAAGAAGCGGGGGGGGGGTCGGTGTCAACAAGTTTTTTGGGCTTTGAAGCACGCTCTGCACGGTTTGAAAAAAAAACGAGGTTTTCGTTGGTTTTTCCTAAGGAAACCCTCTTCTGATTACATTTTGGACGGATTTCGTCAAACGTCAAAGCGTACGTTGCTTTTCCTTAGTTTGTCCTATGGAAAACCCTATTTGGTTCGTTTTCTTGGTTTCTATCATTCCCTCTATATTTTCATCGGATTCATACTTTTTTTTCAATTAGTTTCTCGGGCTTTGAAGCACGCTTGGTACGGCTTAAAAGAAGCGGGGGGGGGGGTTGGGGGGGCTGTGCCCCCCATCTGCAAACACCCTGCTCACATGATGGGTTTCAACTAGTTTCTTGGGCTTCGGCTGAAAAAAAGCGGGGGGGTTGGGGGGGGGCGCAGCCCCCCCATTTGCAAACACAATGCTCACACGATGTTTTTCAACTAGTTTCTTGGGCTTAAAAGAAGCGGGGGGGGGTTGGGGGGTCTGCGCCCCCCATTTGCAAACACCCTACTCACATGATGGGTGTCAACAAGTTTCTTGGGCTTTGAAGCGCGCTCTGCACGGCTTAAAAAAAGCGGGGGGGTTGGGGGGGGCGCAGCCCCTTCCATTTGCAAACACAATGCTCACGATTTTTTTCAACTAGTTTCTTGGGCTTTGAAGCACGCTTGGTACGGCTTAAAAAAAGCGGGGGGGGGGGGTTGGGGGGGCTGTGCCCCCCATCTGCAAAAACCCTGCTCACATGATGGGTTTCAACTAGTTTCTTGGGCTTCGGCTCGCAGCCCCCCCCATTTGCAAACACAATGCTCACACGATGTTTTTCAACTAGTTTCTTGGGCTTTGAACGGCTTAAAAGAAGCTTGGGGGGTCTGCGCCCCCCATTTGCAAACACCCTGCTCACATGATGGGTGTCAACAAGTTTCTTGGGCTTTGAAGCGCGCTCTGCACGGCTTAAAAAAAGCGGGGGGGGTTGGGGGGGGCGCAGCCCCCCCATTTGCAAGCACAATGCTCACACGATGTTTTTCAACTAGTTTCTTGGGCTTTGAAGCACGCTTGGTACGGCTTAAAAGAAGCGGTGGGGGGTTGGGGGGGGGCGCAGCCCCCCCCCCATTTGCAAACACCATGCTCACATGATGGGTGTCAACAAGTTTCTTGGGCTTTGAAGCACGCTCTGCACGGCTTAAAAAAAAAGCGGGGGGGTTGGGGGGGGCGCAGCCCCCCCCATTTGCAAACACAATGCTCACACGATGTTTTTTCAACTAGTTTCTTGGGCTTTGAACGGCTTCAAAGAAGCTTGGGGGGTCTGCGCCCCCCATTTGCAACCACCCTGCTCACATGATGGGTGTCAACAAGTTTCTTGGGCTTTGAAGCGCGCTCTGCACGGCTTAAAAAAAGCGGGGGGGGTTGGGGGGGGCGCAGCCCCCCCCATTTGCAAACACAATGCTCACAGGATGTTTTTCAACCAGTTTCTTGGTCTTTGAAGCACGCTTGGTACGGCTTAAAAGAAGCGGGGGGGTTGGGGGGGGGGCGCAGCCCCCCCCATTTGCAAACACCATGCTCACATGATGGGTGTCAACAAGTTTCTTGGGCTTTGAAGCACGCTCTGCACGGCTTAAAAAAAACCGGGGGGCGCAGCCCCCCCCCCCCCCATTTGCAAACACAATGCTCACACGATGTTTTTCAACTAGTTTCTTGGGCTTTGAAGCACGCTTGGTACGGCTTAAAAGAAGCGGGGGGGGTTGGGGGGGGCGCAGCCCCCCCCCATTTGCAAACACCCTGCTCACATGATGGGTGTCAACAAGTTTCTTGGGCTTTGAAGCACGCACGCTCTGCACGGCTTAAAAAAAAACAAAAAAAGCGGGGGGGTTGGGGGGGGCGCAGCCCCCCCCATTTGCAAACACAATGCTCACACGATGTTTTTCAACTAGTTTCTTGGGCTTCGAAGCACGCTTCCTTTCTTCCTTCCTTGCTTCCTTCCTTTCTTCCTTCCTTTCTTCCTTCCTTGCTTCCTTCCTTTCTTCCTTCCCTCCTTTCTTCCTTCCTTCCTTCCTTCCTTCCTTCCGTGTTTTCTTCCTTTCTTTCATCCTTGCTTCCTTCCTTTCTTTCCTTCTTTCCTTCTAAAACCTACCAGAAATAACGCTTTCCTATGAAACCACAGAGAAATTACTGTTTTTCGTACGAAAAACCACGAAAATGCATCAAATCCTTTAAAAATGTGGAGGGAATGGTGGTTTTCTTAGGAAAAACCAAGAAAATCGACCAAAAAAAAAAATAAAGGCAAAAAAAAAAAAAAAACCCAAAAAAATAGGCCCTCCAGAGCGAACATCGGGAAGGGTTTAGGGTTTCCGAGCAGGGGCTGCTGGTTTGTCACCTATTCCACCCTCTATCACCCTAGATCAATGGCTCAGAGAGGATGTGCAAAAATTCTGCCTAAGAGCCCAGGGGGCGGTCCAGAAAACATCTTGCTGCCTCTGCAGAGAAAATTGGCGCGGGCGCGAAAACTCAGGTGCAAGGGTGCAACATGGATCGATCTGGTGCAGGGGGCTGGCTCTGGGCCGGCTTGAGCGAATCTGCGTGGCCGGGCGGGACGGGTGCAGTCACCCCTTTACTGTCTATGCTTGCGATGCCTTCGCAGCCAGGGACGCAGGCTGTAAGCGTAAGTCGCAGCTTGAAACCCGGACTTGCCCCCCCCCCCCCCCTCCCCCCCCACATCCTAAGAATCCGAAGGGTTTGCGTGCACCGCCTTCCGCGATTCTGCATTCAAACCCGCAGGCCCTGGAACGGTAACACACGAAAAGCAGTCTAACTCCAACATTGCGTCAGGGGTATGAGCGTCGGCTTGTTCCAGTGGCCCTCAGGGACTGGCAATCCTGTGCGCTGCGGCTTCGGGTCAGCTGGGGAACCACAGCACAGTTTGCCCAAACTCACAAGCCTTGTGCCAACAAAGAGTTGCTATCCACATCTTGCCCGCCCTTGACGCTATCCGGCACGAAGTTGATACTCACAAGCTGCCCTCGTACATGGCACCGGCGCCAACCCAGCAAGCACACACTTCTTGCACCGGTCTGAGGCTCATGGGTCTTGAGACACGCTCTGGCGCAGAAGCGGATCATGGCTCCTGGCCTCTGGCCACGAGTTTTCTTTGCAGAAACTGGAGCATAGAGCCTTCTGTTCTGTCATACTGTATGTGCAGAAAGCCGGGGCATCTTAGGATTACTGTGCTGAACAGTTGGGACAATTAGGAGCCACTGCTCTGGGGCTGTACAAGAAGCCATGGAAGATGCGGAAGCACTCATCGGCCAAGTGCTATACAGTCGCCGCGGTGTTCAAGTCAACCAATGGCTGTGTTAAAATTAAGCGACAGCAGTGGCACATGATCGCCTCAGGCAGGGCACCGCAAGCATCTGCGTGGGGGAGAGACCGTTCGGTGTCGCTTGCCGGTGGTTTCTGCACCTTCGTTGCCTCCGCACTCGTCCATCTCGACAAAGGTGTTGCGCACCACGGTTTTGACTCGGGCCAGCTCATCGCGGCATCGTTGCTGCAGGGATTCGAGGCTGCGGTCATCGCGGAACCGCGGCTCAGTTGTTTCGATCACGCTCGGCGCCGTCGTGCCCCCGCGGGATCGGCGGTACGCAGCCTTCTGCAGCGAATAGGCACGGCGGAAGTGCTCCTGCACTCTTTCCCACTCGTCCCTTTGAATGACACACTGATACGGCAGCAGCTGCTGTCCATCCAAGGACTGGAAAAAAGTTGCGCGCTCGCCGGTGCGATTCAAGAAGACCGTGAGATAATTTGAGAGCAGGAAGCTGCTGCTGCCATCCATGCCTGGGGCTTCTGAGCTTCTGACAACCCGACCTTGATTAACTTACAAAGGAGACTTCAATGAAAAAATGTGCGGCAATTTTTGGCCCCCCAAGATGCGAGGATGATATCGCACCCAGGATGTGAGCCCTTCTCGCCAACCAGCATCAATGGTCGTTACATCCTGCCATGCTGTCTCATGCTGTCATGGAGGGGCAGTCGCGGAAAGTCTCAGCCAGCCCCTGCCATATGTCTCGAGCGAAGGTGCGTAGGACGCGAACATGCGCGCATATGCACGTGGATAAGGCCGTAAACATGTTCTAATGCAGGTAGGCAACGCATCAACCGTGCCACTCGCGGGTTAGCGCACACATGTAGCATGCATGCGCGAGCAAGCAAGCAAGCAAGCAAGCAAGCAAGCAAGCAAGCAAGCCTCAAGAGTGGACCAGGCGAAGGGAATGAACGCGTAGGCGGCTTGAGCAAGAGAGCACAATCCGGAGGAGGAAACGCGATCCGCACAGACACGCGGGCAAGCCCGTGGGCAAGAGCGAGACACCGATATCGGAAACGCAACCAGGCTTCGTCTTACTGTTGGTTAGTAGGGAATGGGGGAATAAGGTACCATTTTTAGTCCCTTAGAGGGTATAAGAGGGGATATGTGGTACCTTATTCCTACTAACCAGCAGTAAGTCGTGCAAGAGACAAGGAACTCACGGGCTCGCCGAGCAAAAACTTGAGAACCTGCCCGCGCAGCCCCATACCTACGTTGGGCGTGTTTGAAGTATGCGTTTTGTGTAGAAGCAATGCACAAACAGGCTGGTTTTCAAAAGGTGCCGACCTACTTCCAAAGCAATGGGTTGATTCGTGACCAGGCATTACTCTGCTCCTCCTCTGCATCCTCTGCCGTGGCCGGAACGAGCGGTCGGCCCCGCCGCCAGCTTTGGATGGTGAGGACAGCCCAGTACTCCGAATCCTTCCTCCGCATCCTCACGGGAGCACACATGCAAGGACTCTGATATTGCCAAGATTCAGCATGGCCTAAAAACCAAAACAAGCCACTCCCAGTTCCGCGAGTCCAAGCAGCTCACCAATGCCCGGCCGATTCACGAACCAGTGTGCAAGGTTCCTTTCGGGAGCCCATATGGGCGTGACTCGCTCTTCGTGAATACTGTGCTGAAAGAGAGGCAGCAGGAAGCGATTGTTGAGAAACTCCTGCCTGGCTGTCCCAAGCAGGGTCCCGAAGTGCGTGGAGGCCCACTTGGGCAAGCGAGTAGGCACCTGCTCGACACGCGATGTCAGCTATATTCCATCATCAGATGTCAGGTATCATTGGCATTATCAAAACCCACATCCTCACACATTTGCCGTCCCAGCTCCCTGCCCCTCCAAACCAAGCGGAGGAGCACCCGCAACACCACGTCCAGGGCAAAATTGCAGGGTCCCTGCTGCCGACCCACCACGATCCCCTCGACGGGCTCCGAGAGGCTTTGGAATGCGAGGGCCTGAGCGTGGGAGGAACGCGGCGGCTCCAAAAGCCAATCCTACGAAACAAAATCGCGTGGATGGGGTCTACATTCGAACAGGAATGAGGAGGCTTGGCAGTGGAAAGGAATTCCCATGTAAATACGGCGCATGCATTGTATTGTACATATGTTTAGTTGTCGGCTCTCTTGGTGTTTCACGTAATCGATAATGGAGAACGGATACAACCGATAATTGAGAATTACGGTTTAGTACATAACAATGGATACTTAGAACTTTCTCTTCAGTTTTTTGCCAGTAGCAACGAATGCTTAGTGTTCCTATCCTGTGTATCGAACAGCTTGCAATTGAACATGTTCAGCACTGACTAATTCGTAGACAGTATTAAGTACGAGCAACTAGTAGCTGATCAGTACCAACAACAACGTAGCTAATGCGTTTCCAATTCGCAACTACAAATTGCTAGGTACTTGTTGTTTTCTTTGCAATTAGTAAGTGGGTAGGTCGCGCGCAACACCTAACAACTGGTAATGGACTACTATGCTTAGTGAGTACACAATATATATATATATACGGTATTATTAGAATAGAGTGCCCGCTTCAGGTTAATAATCCCCCCCTCCCCCAGCCAAAGTTACCCACCAAAAGAAGAGTTGAATCAATGGACAGAGGAGGGTTGGGGGGTGGGAGTTTATTAATCAAAATTTGGAAGATTTTGTACTCAGGCACAAGTTGATAATAGTAGCTAGTGATGAAGAAGTAGTGGCAAAACGTGTGCAATTAACATACAGCATCAACCAGGATAAGTTTTGTTGCTTGTAACTACTAAGTTGTAGTTCATAATCCGTATGTCGCACTTCGAATTCTGAGCCTTGTTGATGCGCAGCTAGAAAATGTTAGTGACGAGCTGAGTCGTGCATGACCTGTATCGTTAAGCATTGTTCGATAATAGCTAAGAACTAGTCATCAGCACGAAGCCATGAAGCAGTAGCAGTTAGAAGTTCAAAGTAATAACCAACAACAACACGAACGTATATTTTTCGGGAATCAGGAAATAGCATGTGGCATTTTGCAATTAACGTGCAGTATTGTACTTAACGACGAGCAGGTACTAAGGACACACGCCATTGGTATGTTCACAATCAGCATAGTGACTTGGCGACGGCCGCTTTAAAGACATCACTCGCAAGTGCAGAGTATTTTGAGTATTTTATTTGGTCCGTGGACCGAAGAAGACCGGGGAACCAAAGACCAGGGGCCAGCCTTATCAAGAAAACCAAGCCCCCCGCCAACCTTAAGGGAAACAAACGGGACCCTGAACCATCAGCCGCACACGATGATGGGATTGCTCACCGAAGGGCGCTGTCACCTTGCAGCGGGTAGTGTCGCCGAAGCATGTAGCGAAGATTTCCGCGCAGATCTGGGTGGCAGAAATGGCTGGGGGGCTCCGATGCGCCTCAGACACCCCGCTGCAAACCACGCACGATCACGACGTGCCACTGACATTCTAACACCCAGGGCAGACAAAGGTGCTAAGAGTGCCCAAGAAGAAGAGCCCACAGAGCTGACTGAAAGTGGACGACGACGACGCGCCAACGTTGTCGGTCCTTCTTGGGGCTTCAAAGACCTTCATGCGCTGATGACCCATGGGCCAATGGGCAATATCATTATTGCATTCCAAGTTCACTGCTCCGGTGGCGCGGAGCCTGCGCGGCAGCTGCCGCACCACCACGGCTTCCCCCGGCGCCAGCTGCTCAACCACCTCTGCAAACCCCATAAGACAAACCTTGCCCCCTTGAAACCTTCACGGCCACGGAGCCTCGAAGGACTCTTCATCTTTCAGCTCCGGAAACGTGCCTCAGCCAAGCTCAGAAAGATGCGGCTGCCACAGCATCTACGGGTTGGGCATCCAGCCGAGGCGCGCGAGGCCCAGGAACGGACCTCCGGTCGAACGAAGAGCGCGGCTGTGTCGACAAGGGGGCTTTGGGCCTCGAGGTCCCGCAATGAGAACCTGTCGCTGGAACTCGGCTGGAACCAAGGCACACAGGCACCTCCCCGTCCTAACCGTCCCGACCGTGCCCCCGACCTGATGAGCTGTCCGCCCCACGGGCTGTGCTGGTGCAGCAGCCTCGCGGGGATTCGCAGGGACCAGCCGAAAGATATGAAAGATTTGTCGGACTAAGAATGCTTTAACCAGCGGATCAGTCAAAAAGAAATGGGAATCAAATAGGCTGACAGGCTCATAGGCTTCAAATGCTTCAACTTGCAGCCGCGCAGCCGTTCTGACTGTCCACGGGCTCCAAATGCTATGAACTACAGCATCTCTGATTGCTTAGCATTTCTGATTTGTGCAAATGACAGCATTTCGAATTATTCACAAGATGCTGCGCAGTACGACGTTTTTGCATGCGCGCAGGCCCCGAGTCATTTAGTCCATAGCATTTCTGACTCTGCAAAGGCTCCCAATCCATGTAAAGCGCAGCACCGCAAGTTGCAGCATTCCTGCCAGTTGCCAGGTGCCGAAAGCTGTGAATCCCAGCCCGCCCTTTGCAACCACCTTGCTAAGTGTTTAGAAGCTGGACTCAGAGGTCTTTCTTGTCGTATTGGCGAAGCAAAGGGGATCGGCAAAGGGTATCTCAACAAATCATGCCTTCGTCCCCCCGGCGTTTATTGGATTGAAAGAGCATGCTTGTGACGCTAAGGGAAAGCTGTCCAGAAGAAAGATTGGCTTGGTTGGGTTGGCAAAACCACCTTGCCGACATTTTCTGGATTCGCAAGTCTTGCTTGCGAAGCGAAGGCAGCTGAAAAGCCCCAAAAGAGCCCTTCGCAGGCCAAGAAGCCAAGAACGCAGCCGCCAACGGAGCCAACCAAGCCAGGCAGTGCAGACAAAAAAGGGGGGGGGGAAGAAAAGAAAACTTGCGCCCAGAGGGGGAGGACGAAAGCTCTGCCCCGAAAGGGACTGCAAGTAAGCGAACGGGGCTTTCATGGTTCCAGGGGAGGCGAGGCCACTTCGGGGCTCCAAAACAGTAGCACGTGTGCGGAACCGTCACCATACGTAGTTCTCTTGAGTATGTCACCCGGATAGGCAGACCCAACGCCCGCTATGGGTCCGAATGCTCCCCAGACTCCCCCCCACTGGGGACCACAAGGACCCGCGCATCTTGTTTCTCCAAAAACCGCCAGCGAACAGTGCTCAGAAAAAGGCTCTCGAAATCTGCACTCCAAATTAAACAAAAGCTACCCGTTTGAGGGGGCCTGAGTCAATTCTCAAGATCTGCAACTTGTAGCATGTTGAATATCATTGCATCGTCTGTCCTTCAGTACAAAGCTACTGATGCTTGTGACGTCATTGGTGGTCCTTTACCCAGCTCTTCTTTAGATCCTTGTCCAGCCGAAAGGGAGCAGAGCACAGCCCCTGGAGCTCTCAGCCACCCCGTGAAGCGCCTGTCGGAGCCATCGAAGGCAACCATCCAACCTTCATCCCCGAGCAAGTTCGGGACGAGGTGGAACCAGTCCTCTCCACCAAGAAGACTCCCCCAGGTTGCGACAGGGAAGTTGAGAAACACTACCGTCCCTGAGCCTCAAGAGTTGGATTGCATGCCCACCATCCGTCACAACAGCCAACTGCACATCTTCACATGCCCCGCAACCCCCCCCACTTCACAAAGGCCAAAGGCCAAAGCCCCAAAGTACAGCAACGCACAGCGTCTCCTCCACGCTCTCGGGGTGGACTGCCATGTTGCGGCGAATTTGGATGCACTCGGAGCAAGCGGCAGCCATGTGCCATGGACAGACAGCGGGACAGGTGCAGTCACCCCATGTTACCCTGCAGCAGCCTTAGCTCTAGGCAAGCGCCTACCCAAGGCAAAGTTGAAGCATCTTAGAAAAACATGCATCTTCAACCTCCCAACTTGCCCCCAGAACCCTGACAGCAGACGACATCCCACGTAGAGTTGATTTTCTCTGGAGCGCGTGCCGCAAGTCTGCAGCCATTTGGAACTTAAGCCCCGATGTTCTGCTTTGCAAGGGAGTTGGGAGGTGGGAGCCAGGTCTCCTCAAATCAAGTCTCACTTCCGTCTGTTTTTGTAGTCACAAGGCCTCTCTACCCTTCGCAGACTGGGGCAGCCGATGATGGCACTGCTGTACAGGGACTTGCCGCGCATTGGGTATATGGAGGGGCGGCTCTGCTCACGCTTGCCAGGGATTTTTCTGGTCAGCCGCCTGCAATCGTTGCAGCATGACGTGACTGTTGAAGGACCCTGTTTGGGCGAAGGCACTTGGAACTGGATGCAACCCTCTACCATGCATCAAGTCTCACACTGGATGCTGAGGCCTGCTCGAAGTGGAGCTGCTCAGTCCTCTTGCAGTCTCGAACTGAGTAGTCTACCACGACAAACTGTGCTGCGATGGGTCCGAGGCAACAGCTGTGCTTTCTGGGGCCGGGAGTTCGACTGGGTTGCCAGGATTGCAGATGAGCGCTCAGATCAAAAGTGCTCTCTTCCGAGATCTTCTCATTTTGCACAGAAACATCTGGACGAGCCAGGACAATGGGGCGACCTGCTAGAACCTACCAAGGCACGGGACGAAAGTCCTGTTCTGGGAATTCCACATAGCCCCCACGTTCCGGGCACGTCAAACAGACCCCCTCAACACGTCCCTTACGAGAAAGGGACCCCACCACCGAGAGCCCCCACGGGTCAGACGTGCGCGGCGCGTTCACAAACTTGAGCTTGTAGCTTCACTAGAATCGACTTACAATGCTGTACGATGATTAAACCTCAAACCCTAAACCCTACACCCTAAACCCCGTTCAACATACGAGCGCAGTGGAGCGGAGTGGAGTGACCAAGGCAAGCGGTATCACCTCTGGCCACATGGCTTGAAGATCAAGCCTTTTTTTGCACAGAAATAAGAACAACAATCAAATTACTTCGAACATCCCCACCCTCTCTGGGTAGAGGCACGCTCTGGGGTTGGACACTCCAGGGACACTCTGGGTTGGGCACTCCAGGAACAGTTTGGGGTTGGGTACTGCAGGGACACCCTGCGGTTGGCACCCTGGGGTTGGGCGAGGAGTAGACCCGGCGAGGAGAAGAGTTGAGTTTAAATCACACCGAGGGTGGGGAAAAAGACATTCTCCCAAAACTGAAAGGCCAAGGGCGCGCAGGATTTTCAACATGCTTCAGTTCAAGATCGTTCTCAGCTCACGAACCTGGCTACCTCTGTAGGGTCTGCCTGGCGAAGGTCCCTTTGATTTGAGCTATCAGGCGTCATCCGGGAGCTGCTTCAGCAGCATTGTTCAGAGAGACTACCGAGCGCCTCATCGTCAAACTCAGCGAGAGTGCTGAAGATCTTGGCCCCCACTGCACTCCTGTGGGCTTCAGGATAGGTGTGTATATATATATATATATTTCTTTATTTATTTACTTACTTAGTTATCAATTTAAACATCATGCATATCTACATATGTATACTTGGACACAAGCTTATCCGCACACGAAAGTGCTTGTCCCTACACGGGCACATCGCTCCAAGCGTGCGTGTTGATCGGCGGGTTCTGCATGACCTGTCTGTCGTACCCGTAAGGCTTGTGATGCCGAGGCCAGTGAAGTTTGCGCCCTCGAGACTTTCTTGGGGCACGGCATCGAAGTCGTCATCACTGTCACACTCGGCGAGGCGCGCGAAGATCTTGCAATGCTCATGTTACAGTGGCAGGATGCATACAATGGCTCGCTTGACCAAGCTGCGAAACCTAATGCAAGGTTATGCAAAAGATGCCACAACATGCCACAACATGCCACAAACAAGCCCTTTCGTTTCGCAGGCCCTGCATGTAACACACAGCTTTGACACCCCGGAGCCCGCACCTTGCGACCCACGATGCTCCAAGACTGAACGTCGATCTCCTGTCCAGAGCTTACGGCTTCTCTGCCCTCCATGCCCTCCATGCCCTCCATGCCCTCCATGCAAGTTGCAAGTTGCAAGAGCTCTTGCTCAACAGGGCCCACTCCCGGCGGCTTCAGCTGCATGTGAGCCTAAGCCCTATAAGCTCTTCAAGCCCCTACAAGCCTCAACGACACGCCTTGCTTTGACTCGAGGAACTGTCATACTGACGAAGAACTGCCTCCTTCTCATCAACATCACTGCCGCTGGAGTCCACGGTGCTGGTCTCGTCTGCATCAGCCTCCGAGCTAGTGAAGCTTGGGGCCACAGCCTACACGAAAAAGCCGGCAACTCCAACGTCGAACACAACAGAACTTTGCACCTGAGGCTCAGAGATTGGCGCTCGGGCGGCAAGGGCGGGGACGTAGCTCCCGGCCTTGCCCACGAGGGACTTTGCAGGAAGAGCCTGTGGTGCTGTGCAGAGGGGCATTGCCCAATGAGGAACAGAAGAGCCAGTGCTCCGGCGCCGCTGTACAAGAGCCAAGGAAGGTTGCGGAAGCACTCAGCGGCCAGGCCCTGTACAGCAGCCGTGGAGTTCCAGAACAACCACCAAGACTTTCCTTTAAACGCACCGGCGCCGGTGACCTGCAGGCTCTCAAGCTCCGGTTTTGGCTTCTAGGCAGTCTAGGCAACATAAAGAGAAGGCCGCGCGAAAAGCTGTGTCCATCACAGAATCACAGCCTCAGCCCAAGCGTCGCACAGGGGAATGAGTCCTGCACCGTTTGCAAGCACCTTCCACTGCTGTTGGCTCATCCAGCTCGATGAAGGTGTTGCGCACAACGGTCTTCACAGCATGCACTCGCTGCCGCGTGGGTGCAGGATTGTGGTTCTTGCCGAAGCGCGGGTCGTGGTTTTCACAAACACCAGGAGCCGTCGGACCCCCACGGGAGTGGCGGTACGCAGCCTTCTGCAGCGAATAGGCGCGGTGGAAGTGCGCCTGCACTCGGTTCCACTCGTCCCTCTGAATGGCGCACTGGTACGGTAGCAGCTGCTGTTCACCGATATACTGGAACGCAGTCACGTGCTCGCCGATACGATGCAAGAACAGCGTGAGATACTCCGAGAGCAGGAAGCAGCTGCCGCCAGCCATTCCTGACGGAGCTTCCCGACGCTCAACAAGCCGTTAACAGCCTTTACCTTGACACAGTCGTATAGGCCTGTGCAGAATGCATGGTTAAACAGGCACTGCAGACACCTTGCCGAGCGACGGGGATGATAACGGATCCAAGACCTGAGCCCTTCATGCTGGCCAGCATCGATGATCGTCACATCCTGGCCCGAAACCGCTCAACTCAACGGCCTCAACTGCCGGCTCACAAACATCAATAACATCACCGCAATGCGAATCTATGCTAAACTGCAATACTGCTCGGCGAGGGCTTCTCCTCCTCTGCCGCCATGTCCTCCGCCGCCAAGGGAACCAGAGGTCGGCCCCGCCGCCAGCTTTGGATGGTAAGGACGACATACCACTGCGCATCCGCCCCCCGCATCCTTGGCAAGCAAAGATGCTGGACTCAGTATCTCGTAAGCCCAACAGGATTGAGTCAGAGTCGCTCCACTACGCGAGGCCGGTTCACGAACCACAGCGCATGTTGCCTTCAGGGCTCCCCAAGACACAATTCTGGAGCTGGCTGGGGACACTCTCAGTCAGGAACCAAGACAGCATGAGGATGCACACAGTGACCACTCACCTGGCCTTGCAGACTCAAGTATGGCGGCAAAGTGCAGGGAAGCCCAGTTCGCCAAGCCCTCGCTGCACACCTGTTTCACATGCCATCCCATTCTTGGATCAGCACAGCTTTGCTCCGGCTAGCTGTGCAGACACATCCCATCTGACAGAAGTGGGAGAGAACATCGTGCAGGTGACAAGTTGAGATGACAAACGCTGCCAAGTCAGCATCCCCCACACCCTCCCGAAGCCACCAAAGAGAGCAAGTCTGAAATCAAGCGGGCACCCGGAAGATGAAGTCCATCGCAAAGGTGCCGGGCTTCTGCGCGTAGGACACGGCGATGGCCTCGAAGGGGGCCTCGAGGCTTTGAAGTGCCATGACCTTGGGCACAAGGGTCTAGCAGGCCTTTGCAGGCCTTTGCATTCACGTCTTAACATGAGCCATGAAGGCCCATGCCACAGGGATCCGGAGCTCTGCGCATACACGGGTGGAAAAGGAAGAATCAGGGCAGCCGTGGGGCGCTGTCTCCAGGCCGAGGGAAGCTGCGCCGAACAATCTGGCGGAACTTGCTGGGATACAGCGGATGGAAGAAGTGCCGGTCGGCGTAGATCTCGCCTCAACATAAAGATCATAAAGGCAAGACGCGCGCATCGCACGCAGCCCTAAAGTCCAAAAACATGCTCAAGGGCCGCCAGTCACGGCATGCTTGAGAAGGCAAGAAGCTGAACGTGCAGAAGAATAGGCCACAAAGTGACAAGAACCTGAGCCCACACAGCATTTGAAGACCAAGGGAAGAAATAAGTGCAGCACTAGTGCAGCGTAACCACCACTCCCGGAAATCTTACAGTTAACAGTTCGTAGGACAAGTGATACCAATTCCTGCCTCGGCCGGAGAGCACAATGCTCGTCAAATAGCAGCCGTGATCACCCACCCTTCAACACGTTGGGTCCGGTGCGCCTTTGCACTTTGCGTCGGTGGCCGACTGTTTGTTTGTTTGTTTTGTTTGTGTGTCAGTTGTGTGTATGTGCGCGGACATGGTGAAGACAAACTGCTTTTTCGCATGGGTGCGGGAACTGTTTGTTTGTTCTTGGTTTCCTTTTGCCCTGTCGGAGTCCGTTTCATTTGTTCTTGCCAAACCAAAGTGCACGAGAGGGTTAAGCATACGCGGCGTAGGCGTGCGCGCGTGTGCGGGCGTGCGCGATGACCGAAGGGTGTTTTGGAGGATTTTGTTTTGGTTGTTGGTTTTGCGGTTGTTGCGCTTGCGCTGCGAAGACATCACATGACTTGCACCATGTACGGCTGGCACTGTAGTGATGTCCCACAAACTGTGTCTGTGTGTCCGTGTGTCTGCATGTCTGTCTCTGTGTGCGTCTGTGTCCGTGTCAAGGGGGCATCGACCACGGTGCGCGCGGCCGGTCCGGAAGCTACACTCTAGATGAGTGGGGTTGGATGCACCGCGCTCTTCCATCGCTGCAGCACAGCTGGTCTGACTTCGATGATCCACTGATATCCACTGCTTCATAGACACCTCTCCTGCAAAGGAACTTCGAATGCCAACCAACTGCGAAGCATAGCAGCTGGAACATTCAGAGTTTTTGAACGGGTATGAACCCCCTCCTCCCCCCCCTCCCAGCCTTCGCCCCCTCCCTTCCACCCTCTCTCCAGTGGCACGGCACCTCCACGGCAGCTTCCGCACCACCACGGCATCCCCCGGCGCCAGCTGCTCAATCACCTGCCCACCCCAGCAACACAAACCTTGACGCTGCTTTGGCGGCCTCTGCAACGGCCACGGAGCCTCGAAGGACTCCTCATCCTTCAGCTCCGGAAACGTGCCTCAGCCAGGCTCAGAAGATGCGGCTGCCACCGCATCCACGGGTTGGGCATCCAGCCGAGGCGCGCAAGGCCCAGGCACGCACCTCCGGTGAAACGAAGAGCGTGGCGGCATCGGCAAGGGGGCTCTGGGCCTCGAGGTCCCGCACCGAGAACCTGCAGTCGCTGGAACTCGCCCGGCCCAATCTGAGACATGGTGCTCCCGACTGTCTCGACTGTCCCGATCCCAGACTGTCCCCGACCGTCCCGACTGTCCAACCTGATGAGCTGTCCGCCCCACGGGCTGTGCCGGTGCAGCAGCCTGGCGGGATTTGCAAAGACCAGAGCAAACGAAAAGGAGCTTCGGCCATGGAGCTCTCAGCCACCCCTGAAGCGCCTGTCGGAGCCATCGAAGGCAACCAGCCAACCTTCATTCCCGAGCAAGTTCGGGACGAGGCGGAACCAGTCCTGTCGCTTTGGTGCTCCACTCGGCCGATGCATGGATCGTTTCAGCGTTCTCTGTTGAAGCGCTTCTGCAGGTTCAGGGGCAGTGCTAAGTCGAACAATGTAGGGGGATGCTACTTGACGCTTGGTCCACACTGTCGCCTGCGGATCTCACCCCGATGCAACCCCAAAAACGGCGAGCAGGCAACGTCTCCTCGACGGTCTCAGGAGGGAGCGCCATGTTGTTGCTTTCGTCTGCCGCTCTGATGCACTTGGACCACGGCACAGCGAATGATGATTCATGCAACGCAACGATCCATGAGGCGAAAACCAAGAAAGTCAGAGCTGTTCGGGTGTGGGTGGCCCCGTGGCCCCACACGGGCTACAAGACGGGCTAAAAAAAGAACCAAAGCTGGAGCCTTGTCACCGGGCACACCACGGGCCATCCTTAGTTTTTGTACATCTTGTCTCAGGAGACTTTAAAAAAAACCGGAAATATAATTTAGTGTAGCAATCAAAAAAATCGAAGGCGCCCCATCTTCCACACTCGGAGCGCCCCTTTCCAGTATGGCGCCAAGCATCTCAAACACCAGCATTGGTGGTTCTACGGTACGCGGGGCATCAATCGCCACCGCTAGCACCGATGATCCTCCGCACAGGTGTGGTCATTGCCGTTCTGCAAACTAAGCCAAACGTGCAAGTACCAATCGCCGGCTCGAGCGCAAAGATCGGGCAACTTTCAACGCTTGCTGAAAGAGGTCCTGGAATAGGGTTGGACCTGCAAAGCACTGGGACGAAGAGCCCAGCACCCCCCAAAGAAGATACTCGCTGGATGATGCTTTACGACTGCTGCCGAGGGGCATGGAGAGATATTGCTCTCCTTGAAAACGGAAAAAATAAAGACAGTAGCCTGGTAGCCCCCTGCCCTCTTCACAGGCTCAAAGTGAAATCGAATCATGCCAGAAACAGAGACAGGCAAGAAGAAAAAGCGCCGCGACAGTTCTGCCCAGACCGAGTCTCGGCTGCAGAAGCAGAAGTTGGAAGCTTTCTTGTGCTGTTGGCTTCAACTTGAGCCCAGGCGATCGCGGCGATGGCGGCGATAGCTCAAGAGGCTCAGCATGAGGAGTCTTAAGATAGGTTCAGCCCAAGGCTAAGGGTTCCTTCAAGCTGGTGCCCCCCAATGAGACTGCATCTTGCTACTCAAGAGGCCAAACCACACTCCACCCCTCTTCTTGAACCTCTCGGCATATGCTTGGGTCTGCACTCCACACGGTGACCTGGGATCGTGCTGTGTCGCTGCGACTCACAAGGCCAGCCAGGTCCGCACATGCCACACAGGCCACACATTATAGAAACATGCGATATGGAGAGTCTGAGAGAGAGAAAGTGAGAGAGAGAGAGAGAGAGAAAAAAAAAAAAAAAAAAAGCGAGAGAGAGAGAGAGAGAGAGACAGCCGAAAGCCCACCAAGGCTTTTTGGGTCTGGGAGACCGGCAATGGCAAACGTGTGGTCCGCACCACACGCTACACGCTGCCTTGAGGGGCACGCAAAGGCTTGAAGCCCTGTTTTGGCTACCATCCACATCACAATTCAGCCCCATACAGGTCAGAATCAAGTCCTGAGAAGCATCCCTTGTCCAAGTAATCTGAGTCTGGCGCACGACCACGCGAAACCCTCCGTGAATCGGAAACTTCACCTGTGCCAAGCTGAGAGCCCGCAAGGCGTAGTCAGAAAAAACGAGAACTGCCGTCCGTTTTTGTCTGAGCTTTGCCAGGTTCTCGACCCCACACACACCTGGATCAACACCTCGAAGCTAAGTCATGCGAGTTGTCTATCGCGCTGCCCTGGCTCCCCTCCACACAGAAAGGAGATGCGAAACGCGCATGCCAGGCAGTGCAGCGCAAGGGTCTTTTTCAAACGTTCTGCCTGACCGACATCATGGGGCACTTCTCTTGAGTGCAGCCGGCGACTGGAGCTTTTGCACAATAAGATCTGCAGCGAGGTGTTGCAGTGCCCACGTGCCAGAAGTCAGCATCCTGCTTGGGGCTTGGCCTTCGAGAGGACAGATGTCATGGCAGCCGTCGCACCACAACCCCGCGCACAGCTGTACTAAGCTCGCACGCCCCTGTCCGAGCGTGCTACAACTATCTACATTTGGACAGTGCAGGATCACACCCTCGGACCTCCAGCCCAGCGTGTGCCTTTATGGCACTGACTTCTCAAAATCGCGGGGGGGTGTATTCGGGGAAAACAGCGGAGCCCCTCCGGGCTGATGAAGGATATCAGGATGACCTCCTCATGATATCACGATCACTATCAAATGATATCACTAAGATATCATTGGCATCCTTTGGATACCATTTCTGATCTCAGTAGGACTCACCCAGTATTCTGCATTCCAGCTGCAATACCCTGGATGCTCACAATCATGGCATCAGCCAACTCTTCGGAAATGTGCTCCCCGGCTTTCCGCAGACCTCTTGCAAGGCCAAGGGAACCAGTGAGTCGCAGCTTGCAGTGGGCTATGCATCTGAAGAAACCTCGAGGCCTTCGTAATCCTAATGCCGCCACGCTGCGCTGGAGCACCTCCGCTTGAATCACGTGGGTTGCATCCAGATATGGCCTGATGTCAGGCATGAAGACGTTCATTAATGCAAGACATTGCCCCTCAGCCCCATCAGCCCCTCAGCCCGGGCCCCTCAGTGGCAAATCTCGACATGGCCCAGACATATCCAGACATTCCCTTTGGCCTCCGCATTCCAATGGCCAGTTTGGTGCTCGGCTCCGTAGAGAGGACCTCCTTCTCCCGCTTGACCTGCCAAGATGAGCCAGGCATTGCCCAAACCCCCATAGCATCCCCCTTCCTCCCCAGAAAAACCCCCTTTATCCCCACGTATCTCCAGCCTTTAGCAGAGAAAACCCCCTAAACCATAAACCCTAAACCAACATCACCCAACCGCACCTGCAGGACAGAGGTGGTCGCCTGAGCCAGTCGATTGCGGAGATCCTCGCGGTTTCTTTTGGCACCACTGCTGCCGAAGTACTCTGCAACAACCGTTCGAGGATCACGGGTGTAGGGTTCCGGGGAGAAGCAATTGTGGACGGGGGCTTGATGCATGCGTTTTGGCGCGCATCCCCTCCACAAAGTGCCCGGTATCGCCGGTATCGCTTCCTTCTCAAGCTCAGCCCTAAACCCTAAACCCTAAACCCTAAACCTCTCGGCATGTGCTTTCCTGGCCCAAGGGCTTCAGCGCATCATCGCAGATCTTGGAATCGTAATGGGCTGCCTGAGCTCTTGGAGCTGAAGCTCTGAGCTCAACTCATGCATGTGGGGTTGAGGGTTCAGGGTTTAGGGTTTAGGGTTGAGGGTTGAGGGTTGAGGGTTTTTTTTGCCACCCGTCTAGCAGAGGGTTTAGGGTTTAGGGTTTATATAGGGCTTTCAAGCCATCTTCTCTGACCCGCCAAGCGGCGATGTGTTCGTCGGCCTTCCCAAGCTCAATGTCGATGAGGTCCAGCATGGACTTGAAGAACGGCCAATTTGCGTACATGGACTGGAGAAGCCTGGGCAAAGGAGTGATCCCCCTTGTCGACTCCAAAAGGATCGCAAGTTTAGAAATGAACCAAGAGCAAGACTTAGAATGGAAAGTTACAAGTGACTCCAGCTTGCCCCCGGTGATGAACTTGTCCAGAGCATGGCCATTGCCTTACTTTCTTTGAAGGCTTGTGCCAACTCTTGTGCAAACAGTTGGGGCCCCAAACCCTAAACCCTAAACCCTAAACCCTAAACCCTACACCCCAAAACCCAAACCCTAAGCCCACAAGCCGAGAGCAAGTGGCCCAACCAGACCGGCAGCAGCAGCCGCGTCTGCGTCCAGGCAAAGATCCAGGGGATGGCCCTGAGAGGATCACGCATTGCTCTCCTCTTTTATTCTGCTATGTTCGTCTACTATACGGCAATATGTTATTCTGGTGTTCTATATTAATATGATTCTTCTCTTTTACTCTGCTTTTATTAGTCGATTATACGGAACGATTTTGAGATTATTCTATTATTTTTCCTGTGCTATAGTAGTCTATATTGTGCTGTACTATTTTGTCCTTATTCCATTATCACTGTATTCTGGAAGTCTGTATGACTATGATGACTTTTATTCTGAGACAGCGCAGTAGAGTCCGTGCTTTTCAAGGCCAAGTTGCCTTAGCGTGTCGATGCCCCCATAGTTGCGGCGCTTGGCTGGTCTTGAGCCAATGTTCATCCTGAGCTTCACGCGATCTCGCAGCTAGGATTCGTGGGAGCATGTGGGTTGCCAAGGCTCTGTGCCAGCTCTGCCGACGGCGTGGCTGCATGGAAGTACCTGCGGCTCTAATTTCTGGCAACACGGCAATGGGATTCACGACGAGGTGTGTCCGTCTTGTAGCCCAGGTCTTCTGGTCCGAGCAGCTTGACGAACTGGTCGCCCGGTGAGCGGAAAACTGTTGTCTGGTAGTCCTTCACCCCTACACCCGAGACCCTAAACCCACACTGTGGCTGGGACTGCATGCTGTCGATGTCAGCGCGTGGCTTGCAGAACATAGATTCTCCCAACCTAAACCCCAACCGTATCCACAACCATTCCCGCAACCATTGCAGCTGCAACTGCTAGGGTTATGCAGAGATCGGATTGTCCTGCAATAAGTTGGGCATTATTGTTTTTATTGGTAGTAGTATTCTTATTACGATTATGATTCTGATTATGATTTTGATTATGATTATGATTATGATTGTTGTTACTCTTACTGTCACTATTTTTGACATTTCCTCCATGATTCCCCAGGCGTCCAAGAGCTCTCCTCGGCCGAGAGGTCGGCCAGCTCCTCCATCGCGGCGCGATACTCTGCGCAGGGCAGCGGCGGAGGCGTCAGGATGTGCTCCAGCACCGCCACCTGAACAAGGAGAGTTCGGATGGAGAATTCGTCTGGGAGTGGTGTGTGCCATTGGGTTTTGCGCAGCTTCCACTACTGATGACGACGACCACTACCGCTACTGCTACCGCTACCGCTACCGCTACCATCGAGGACGAGGACGAGGACGACGAGGACGACGAGGACGACGAGGACGACGAGGACGACGAGGACGACGAGGACGACGAGGACGACGAGGACGACGAGGACGACGAGGACGACGAGGACGACGAGGACGACGAGGACGACGAGGACGACGAGGAGGAGGACTGCTACTGCGAGGCTCGTCTTTTCATGATCCTAGCCAACTCTTTCAAACACTCCTGGGAAACAGGTTAAATCCCATTACTTTTCTTAGGGTCTGCTGGAACTGGGAAAGTTGAATCCCGCACCCTCCTTGTTGCCCAAATAGCTCGACAACCATTGCATGGCGGAAAGTATGCTAAAAACCCCATCTCCTTCTTCTTCTCCTCACGCCCTTTTTTTTGGCCCTGAACTTGCCAACAGTGCCGTCGGGCGCATGTTCAATCCCCACGCCCCTTCTGCTACTCAATCGAGCACCAACTTTCGGTGCGAATTATGTTAACTCTGACCCCCTTCTATTCTTGCCGTCATGGCTCGTTAAATCAATGTTTTTGTGTTCTTCTCCTCATAATGTCATAACTCGACAGCCCAGTCCCGGAATCATGTGAACAGTAAGTTCTTCTCCTCATCACTGATCTGTGAAGTCTGTTTCGTCCCACCCCTTCCCATTTTTGGCATCACACTTCAAGAGCCAAACAACGCAGCCTTGTCTCGCCCTTCCTCTCTTGTCGTCATGGTTCGTCATGCTTCGGCCGCCAACCCACGCGTTCTTGCGCCACGTGAACTCACAGGTTGGAGCATGGGACGGTTGAATCCCATGCCCTGCCTTGCTTCTCCTACGAATCACTCGACAACCTCCGTCTTTGCCAGGAGTCACCCTTCTTTCTTGTCGTCATGGTTTGACAGCCCCTTCCTTTCTTAGCATCATGCTTCGGGAACTTCGTCGCTGCGCAAGGCATGTTCAATGTTAAGTCCAGTCATCCCCCCTTCTTTTCTTCTCCTCGGAACTCGACAGTCGGCAGCGCCTTCCTTCCCCTCACCAGGCGATGACCTACTCACGGTGGGAAGCATGCTAAATCCAATAAACCCAAGCTCCCTCCTTCTCCGACCCTCATGATGCCATAACCCACTAACTCCACCACCAGTGCTGCATGAGGCACTGCATATCGCTCCATGGTGTGCTCGGCAACCTCCGGGTTCATGAAGTGCCTCGGGGAGGGGGGGGGGGTGGGGGGGGGGGGTTTGGGGAGGGCCCCTGTTTTCCCACGTGCCCGCGAATACGAGTGTGTTTCCCTCCTGCACAGCTGGGGCGCTTTCCACGAAAGGTGTTGTTGCTTTTTGTTTTTGTTGTTGTTGTGTGTGTTTTTTTTCTTTCCTTTTTTTTTGGGGGGGGGGGGGGGATTTTGAGCTGTCATCGAGGCACTGCTGAATCATCTCGCCCTGCACCGTGAGACGCAGGTGGCGGGTGATGGATCCTGCCGGCTGGTTCAGCAGCCTCAGACCAGGGCGCTCAAAAAACGACTTGAGCATTCGGAGACCAAAAAGGCAGAAGAAAAAAAAAACGAAGGAGCAAAAGAAAAAAAAGGACTACGCGCGCACCGGGGCGCGTGAGGTGCGGGGGTCCGCCTCCCCGGCTGATGGTGCCCCCGCGCCCGTGGAAGAAGGTGATCTCCACGCCATGCCTGGAAGGGGCAACCGGATTGCAGTCTTGTTTACGGGCTACTGCATCATTCGTGGTGCGCGCATAAGTTGGTCAGGGGCCCCCCTGAAGCCTAAACCCCAGAACCCTAGAATCCTAAAACCCTACACCCTACACCCTGGAAGAAGGATTCTGCGATTTTCGGACAACCCCCATCCGAGCAACAGGAGAAACGACCAGCTGGGGGCCCCCACCGGGCGCCGACCTCAACCAGCTTCTCCATGGCCACATGCAGAGCCCACGTGGAGGCAAACTTCCCAGCATCCTGTTTAGGGTTTAGGGTTTAGGGTACGTAGGGCTTAGGGTTTAGGGTTTAGGGTTTAGGATTTAGGGTTTAGGGTTTAGGGCTTAGGGTTTAGGGTTTAGGGTTTAGGGTTTAGGGTTAGGGTTTAGGGTTTAGGGTTTAGGGTTTAGGGTTTAGGGTTTAGGGTTTAGGGTTTAGGGTTTAGGGTTTAGGGTTGTGTCGATCATAGCAATCATACCAGCTCAGTCTACAAATCCAGACCAGAGAGTTACTTTCGGCAAAGGCCTTCACAGAGTCCGAGTAGCCCAACATTACCTGCGGCCATCATTGGACTGCCCAAGCACTCAAAGCTTCACTCAAAAAAACTTGGCCGAAAGCTAGCGAGGGAGCTGGTCGGAGGGGGCGATAGTGCCGGTAGCTCACAAACCCTCATTGCCCAAAGCTTCATCTTGGAACCCCGAAAACCAAGTCACATTTGGCCAGAAAACGGGGTGCCCATACCCCACACCCCTTGGAAGAAACTCAGCTAGCCCTCGCAGGCAAGCTTTCGTGACCGAGCGCCATAGGAGATTTGGACTTCCTGCAGCCCCCCTTCCAGCCTCCTGCTTGCCTTTGACATGATCCCTGGCCGGGCCAAGCTTAGCGCAGATCATGCAAATAAACGAGAGGCTTCGATGATAAGACCATGGCAAGGTGCTTGTACCACGGAATGCTCAGCAGGGAGTCGATGACACTCGGTGCCGCTTGTAAGTCGTCCCTGGTCTCGAACCTGGCTTGCTCTTGGCACTTGTTTCCACATTCCGCGTTCACGAAGTCATGAGCGGAGTTCGCTGTAGACCTGCACAACCTCCGACCACCCGTTTTGCCAGAACAGGAACACGGGCTGAAGTTGAGAGCGAGCCGCAGAGGGCTGATCCGCATGAACTGCTTCACACCCCCGATCTTCTGCCTCGAAGCAAGGCCATATCCATCAGTTCGCCAAGACAGCACCCATTGCAACCCAGTCGCAGCAGACACACCGCCAAGATGTCGGAAGTGGCCCGGGACATCCTTGGCTTGAAAACAAACGCCCCTCCACAGCTCTGCTGGCGGCTCACATTCAGAAAGTCATGTCTGCACAAATAGCCCCGGTAGCGAGATGCAGTACGCACCCACAGCCTCTGGAGGCAGGTCTGCGATGGTACAGAACCTGGCTTTTCAACACGCTTGGAATCTCAGGATGCAGCGAGGACTGCAACCTTCAACATGCACGCCATGGAGCGTGTCAATAACCTCCTGGACAATCTCGGACATCGGCATGTCTGGCGGCCTTGGCAGTCATGAAGGGCCCTTGAGGTGCTAGAGTAGAGGGTTCAGTATGCCGCTAAGGTAAACATCCCCAATACTTCCGCTCTTTCTCTTTCTGACCAAATATGTGCATCTTTGTGCGCTGTAAAGCAGCAGCAGCAATTTTGAGTACGGTAGCCATGCTTCTGCCGAACTGGACAAAACTCGCCCCTGAAGGAAGGGTGGAGAGAGGAGGCCCCGAGCATCCAACACTTCTCAAAAGGATGTTGGGCTTCTGCTGTTGGCCCAAGCTGAGCTCCAAATCTCAAAGCACGTGGAGTCTGCGCAGGAGACGTGGCGAAATGAACCACCTGTCTTTGACAAGGGGCAGAAGCGGCCGCCGCGACTGAATCTCCTCAAAAAAAAGCCATGGTTTGCTTTCGTGCATGTTCGTCTTGGCCCCAGAAGTCTTGCTGAAAGATGCACGGGTTCGAGCTTGACGCTGAAATTGAGGTGTGGAGTTGGCTTTCTGAGATTTGGGAGTTCTGCTGGCAAAATCACTTCAGCTCAGAAAGAGAAAAGGAGAGGGGGGAGGTGAGGAGAGGTGGCCTGTACAGCAGCCTTGCGCCTGCAAGACATGCAGGCTACAAACACAAGGTGGGGCTCGCTCATGCCCCCCTGCGTTCGTGAGGCGCTTGTGGGTTTTGGGGGTGGGCAGGGGAGGTTGGGTGGAACTCACAGCGCTTCGCGAACAGATTGTTGCGTTTAAGGCTTGCTTTCATGCTGAGCCACATCGGCTCCATGCAACAAAAAGTCTCCTGGAGAAGCCAGTCGCACTTCTGCTGCTCCGTCCAAGCCGAGTACGACCTGTCAGAAGCACGATGCCTAACTCCAGAAGGAGCCACCACCACCACCCCCCGAAGCACCTCCTACACTAAGCCACTAAGCATAGCCACTAAGCATAGCCACACAACATCTTACCATCAGTCTTAGCCACCAGTAACTCCGGTGTGCATCCAAGTGTCCCCAATCCGAGATATTGGACGATGGCATCCATAACCTCCCGGTGCCTGAGCTTGTGGAAGCACCGAGATGGTGGATGTGAGGTTTGGACTTTTTCCCTTCTTTCAAAGGATGGAGGTTTGCAGCTTATCTCGCGGTACTAGTACCCGGTGGGCAGAACACAAAAAGGCTTGCTGGACCCGGTGACGTAGGATTTCGCGCCTTGCTGCCGAGCTCGGCTTGAGTGCCTTCCCTCGACCTCACGTCCCACACCCAGAAACTCAAGCCAAGATGTGCCAGGATACCTGTCGGACTCTTGGCGAATGTCCAGGCAGGCGAGGCTTATGCCAAAGGTACGAACTCTCCGGATGAGATCCAGCAGGCGGCCGTGGGCCAAGACCTCTCGCTATCTGGCCCCCCAAAAAAAGAATAGCGAGGGCAGCTCTAGGGACTTTAGTGACTCTCATGACACGCCTCATCACCCGTTGCCACCAGGGACCGGTACATGATCTCCAGGGGACGAGCCAGCTCTTCCATGCCTGAGCTGGCACTATCATCGTCGTCTATATAGAAGTTAGGCACACTACAAGAAACCAGGCCCCGGTGCTCTGGTATACCTCCGACTCGAAGTCCTTGTCCACTGGCTTGCCAAGGTAGAGGCTCTCCATGGATTTCTTCGTGCGGAATAGGCGACGGCGCACGCTCATGAGGAGCCTGAGCTGCATGGATCATGATCCTCTTCTTGGCGCCGCACGTGAGATCTCTGGTCCTCAAGCTGCCCCTTCAACTTCGGGGCCGGCGGTACGGCTCGTCCGCGGCCACGCCATTGTGGAAGTTGAGGTGGACGCCGCAGCGTGTGTCTGGACGACAGACCTGTGGGCCGAGTCCGGCCGGCAACACCTTCAGAATCCTTCAATAAGTCCCCAACCTTGTCGCCATTGCTGCCAGGAGTGGACCACATGCTGCTCAAAGTCTTCAGCTCCTGCTGCAGCTCCTGGAGATTAGGGACTTCCCGATTCTGGGCGTCGAGGGCTGCAAGTCTATTTGAGAAGAAAGGTTAGGGGGTTGGGCCAGACCTCGCTGGTGTCGCCCGTCATGGACAAGTCGAAGAGCAGGGCGTCTACCTGGACGCTGAACTCAAAGCATAGCTGCATGGCGCATTGAATCTTGAGATGCCTTGGGGCAGAATCCTTCCAGACCGCCCCAATCCCCCAAACCCCCCCCCCCCCGCAGCATCTTGTCGCCTTTCTTGCCGCCTGGCTTGGAGGGTTTGTGCGTAGACCTCTCTGTGTTCCATTTGTCCTCCAGACTTTGCTCTAAGTTCCGTTGTTGTTGCTATTGCGGTCGCTGTCGCTGCTGCTGTTGCTGTCCTCGTCCTCGTCCTCCTCGTCCTCCTCGTCCTCCTCGTCCTCCTCGTCCTCCTCGTCCTCCTCGTCCTCCTCGTCCTCCTCGTCCTCCTCGTCCTCCTCGTCCTCCTCGTCCTCCTCGTCCTCGTCGTCCTCGTCGTCCTCGTCGTCCTCGTCGTCCTCGTCGTCCTCGTCGTCCTCGTCGTCCTCGTCGTCCTCGTCGTCCTCGTCGTCCTCGTCGTCCTCGTCGTCCTCGTCGTCCTCGTCGTCCTCGTCGTCCTCGTCGTCCTCGTCGTCCTCCTCGTCCTCCTCGTCGTCCTCGTCGTCCTCGTCCTCCTCGTCGTCCTCGTCCTCCTCGTCCTCCTCGTCCTCCTCGTCCTCCTCGTCCTCCTCGTCCTCCTCGTCCTCCTCGTCCTCCTCGTCCTCCTCGTCGTCCTCGTCCTCGTCCTCGTCCTCGTCCTCGTCCTCGTCCTCGTCCTCGTCCTCGTCCTCGTCCTCCTCGTCGTCGTCGTCGTCGTCAACGTCGTCGTCGTCGTCGTCGTCGTCGTCATCGTTGGTTTTTTTGTTGTTGCGTTGCTGTTGCTACCTTAGCTCATCTTGTGCCGAGGTTGGGCGTAGGGAAAATTCAAGGCTACAGCCCACCCAACGATTCATTCACTTAGGGGTGTCGCTTTTCAGAAGTCTTCCCATCGCTTTACAGGGTTTTGGGCACTCGTGTCCACCGCTTGCTTGCTTGAATGGCTGGGGCTCTTGGCGCTTGCTCAAATCAAGGCGGCATTGCGGCAGAACATCAGTTCGCAGCTTGGCCGAGCCTCCGCGTAGTAGAGCTCAGCTATTCTCCATCGGAGAAGAGCGCTGACTTCACGGGTCGTCGTGGCCTTACTCGTCTACTTCGGGCTCACATTCTGGGAGCAGGCGCCTCAACAGCGAGCTAGGCAGCGTGATGTTGCCTGTGCGCTTCCATGCGAGCGGCTGTGACATTCGGGTTGCCATCCCGATCTCCTCCCATCCAGGTACTCATCTTGATGACCTTTTGCAGCAGTTGCACAAGAACTTCCATGAAGAGGCCGGTGACACTGCCGGACATGCTAAGGCAAGGAAACGGGGACAAGCAGCAATCTCAAAGCCGAAAAACTGATGCATCATAGGGGAGAGCCGGCATCCCGCGGTGCTTCAGGCAGCGATCAATACGTCGGTAGTGCTCTGGCACTGCCGTCCAAACAGCGTCCTGCAAGGCAACATGCGAACCGCTCCCCACACCCCCCCGAGCACTGTCCTCGATCACCAGCATGCCGTTTCGTGCCTCACCTGTTAGGCCAAGTCAAGAGAACTCGAAGCCACGGTATGGAGGTTGTTGGATTTATTTTCCTTCGCTTGCTTTTCTGAGAGCCTTCCGCAGTGGGCCGGTTGCGGCGGACTGCATTTGTTCGCCAGCAGCTCCATTGAAGAGCCTGGCCAGGGCCCCCACTTCTTACGAGACGACCCTTGGCACTCAGGAGTCCAAAGCCTGGATCTTGGCTCGTAGCTCCTCTTGCTCGCCCGGCGTTAAAGAGTCCCTGGTATCGTTCACCTTTGAGAACAGGCGCGACATACTCATGGTGGTTGAATTTGTCGACCAAAGCTTCTTCACAAAACAAGATTTAGACAGCAGGCGGTAAGGACAAGTAAGGACTTCTGCTTCCCGTGCCGTAGCCGGCTCATGTGTGACGACGCTGGAGTTGACCGCTGGTGGGGCTACTTCTTGCTTGCGGTTTCTCGCTCGGGGTGTGTTTGTGGGCGGCGGTGACAAGAGCACCTGCTCCATCGTGCTCTTTTCGCTGTTCAGTGTCCACTTGGCGTAGCACGTGTTGCCGTCTACCGTTCGGGACAATGGACAATGGCTCGCTCAAAAATCACGGCACAAGAGCCATAACATGAACTATAAACAGTAAACCCTAAACCCTAAACCCAAAACCCTAAACCCTAAACCCAAAACCCTAAACCCTAAACCCTAAACCCTAAACTCCCTCCTAGAGCAGGGGAGATGGCCTTGAGGAGCTGGGAGATGCATTCGTGCTTCTTGAGGTTGCTCCTGCGCTGGGCCTGTTGCGCAGGAGAAGAGGCCAGGGAGCTGCAACAGAAGGCCTCATCCCCAAGGGTTGTTAGGGTTTCGGGCTTAGGGTTCAGGGCTTAAGGTTGAGGGTTTTGGGTTTCTTTTTGGCACCCGACTAGCCACAGCACGGCGGGGTTCGAAGGTCGGCTTGGGAAAAGGGTAGGAAAACTTAAACCACAAGGCCAGGTCAGGCTCGCCTCGGGAAATCGCCCTATATGGCATTCAGAAGAGGGAATGTTAGCGCTGATGTGAGCCCCCTTTCATCCCTCCTAACCAGAAACCAGACGGACACCCAAACAAACACATACCAACACCTTCACCGAAACATCCCGGTTGCGGGGGCCTAAGGGAGGCAGAAAGGCGCGAGTACAGTGGCTTCGCAAGGCTTGATGTATTGTTGCAAACCCGTTTGTGGTTTCGACTCTCACACTCGCGCACGGCAGGCAAGGCTCTCGGTTCATTGGTCCAAATTTTGCAGTGGGCGGAGAGGCTCTGCCCAATATGTGAACCCCCTAAACTAAAGGTTTTTTTTATTTAGGCCAGAAAGGCTTGCAGTCCTGGGTAGGGTGCGCAGTTAAGACGAGCTCGATCTTGTGGTTGACCAGGGCCTCACGCCACAGCAAACAGCAGATCCTTGAAGGCCAAAATTTTCCAAAGACTGAACAAGATGTTCGCCACATGCCTCACGGATCTGCGAGTAGGTGATGCCCTGCGCCTTACTTGTCCACAGGTATCCGAAACCGCGTGCCCTTGCAGTGTCTTGGGTTCTCATGAGCAAGTTCAGAAGGCACCGTCATCTTGTTGAAGCAGCCGCGAAAGGTCTTGATCGCAGTGTCGCCTGGATCCTTCCAAGAGAACTCGAAATCCACGTATTTACAGTAATTATAGTCATTATAGTCATTATAGTCACTATACTCGTTATAGTCATTATAGTCGTTCTAGTCATTATCGTCATTATAGTCACTATAGTCATTATAGTCGTTATAGTCATTATAGTCATTGTAGGCATTGTAGTCGGTAGAGTCATTTCATTATAGTCAGCATAATCATTGTAGTCATTTTTCCTTATTCAAGCGATTCTAGCTCTCATGGTTGTTCTTGCTCTTGTCGTTTCTTGCTGACTCTCTCCCAAAGCCCAGCAAAGAAGCCTAAACCCTAAACCCCTAAACCCTAAACCCCTAAACCCTATACCCGAAACCGTAAACCCCAAACCCTAAACCCTAAACCCTAAACCCATGGCAGCTCCGGGAAGTCCATGGTCACGAAGCTCTTGAGGGCCGTCTTGAACGCTCGCAGGCGCTGATGCGACTCCGCCAGGTTGGCCTGCACCAAGATCTCCTCTCCAGGATGACAGTTTAGGGTTTAGGGTTTAGGGTTTAGGGTTTAGGGTTTAGGGTTCAGGGTTTAGGGTTTAGGGTTTTTTTTGCCACCCGCTTAGCTGACCTCTCGGACACTCTGCAGGGAATTGGCGGTTGGAATACTGGTCTGCGAGAGTTGCCAATAGGTTGAGTCATCACAACACACAAACAAACCCCAACTCCAAACAAAACAAACACAGCCATCCACTCAACTCATTGCAACCCCCTCGAAATTGTGCGAGATCGAACTTTCCGCACCGACCTCTTCAGAGACCCCATCCACAATATACAACCGAAAGGACGTTACAAACACTACAACAAAGGATACACACAAATACCACATCTCAACAGGGAGTCCGTTAAATGTTCAAGGGATGTAGGTGGGATGCAACCAGGCTCCAGCATGGTAATAGGTTCACTACCCGCCTTGAGCTCTTGTACAGGAGTTGCTTCCCAACATCCACGTAGCGACTACACTGAGATCATCCGAGTGGCCATAACGGATGAATCACACATGCAAGCACAGTACACCATAAACCAAGCATCCACATGTCCACTCCATGGTTCCTTAAAGAAACCGAAGTTGTTGTCAGGACAGGGCAAGTCCTCAAGACTCGTCCACAGTTCTTCAGTCAATCAGTTCAGGACATCAAGATTCCCGGGTCGTACTGCATCAACCCAACAACCACAACAATCCAACAGATGAGACACCGCACCACCACAGCAAACCAGACCACATGGATCCAAACACAATGAAATCCCAAAGCCCGGGAAGCTTGGCAATTGTGCGGGTCCTCTCCATCCCTAACTCCTGTAGCACAACAGATCCACCAAGATACCCACCTACATATGCTCAAGGAACAAGATGTAACAACAAAGAAACAGTGCATCATAGGGTTCCCTAACCTCCCAGCATGTGGGCCACTGCTCAGCACGAAGTCAGCAGAGAGTCCAGATGCACACATCATCCCAACAACCACATAGATCCAAACAGTCGGACCAAAGCTGACCGAAGCAACCACCACCACATGCATCCACACGATAGGGACTACCGTAGCCTCTCCACTGAAGGTGCAAAGTGCAGCGGTTTGACAAATTACTTGTGGGCGCGTGCAAGTGCCGGGACATTCACCTACATAGGCTCAAGCACCAATAAGTAACAACATCCAGGGGTCTCCCAATCCCCCGGCATATGGCCACTGCTAAGTACGAAGTCAGCGGAGAGCCCAGATGTACTCACCATCCCAACAACCACATAGATCCAAACAATCGAACCAAAACGGACCGAAGCAACCACCACCACAAGTATCCACACAATAGGGACAACCGTAGTCTCTCCATTGAAGGCACAAAGTGCAGCGGCGCGTCAAATTACTTGAGGGTGCGTGCAAGTGTTGGGGGGCTGACAAGTTTCAGGGTGCACCATGTCTCCCAAACATCAGTAAAAACGCATGCAAATGCAAATTGCAAGGCACTGAATTACAAATTACGAATTAGCTCAAATTACTGCTTGCCCATCAATCATTGGCTCAACCCAGGTGGTTTCTGGTTTCCCATGCCCGCATCTGTCGCCACCCAGCCTTGCCTCTTCCACCCTAAGGTTGTCACTGCATGGTCTATCAACCGGTCGTCATGCCAGTGTACCCGTCCATTGCAGCCTCTGTCTCTTCGCCCGAGCTGTCACTGTCCGGGTCAATCTACCGTCTGTGTCATTTTGCAACGACCAGTGTACATGCAGTTGTGTATCCGCAATCCGACTCTTCCATCGGCCAAATGCTCCCAGTTCATGGGTTTCTGGTGCCACCAGCAAAGATTTGGCTAGCACTAGGCATCTGCATCTGCAGCATTCCGAACAACCAGCGGGCCAGAGGGCATACTGCACACCAGTAAGGGTTGCCAATATCGGGCATTTGCAGCATCCAGGAGAACCATCGTGTAGGCTCAAGTAGGATGCCCCAGTGACATGTAGCCAGTGTCGAATGTTGCAGCAATCAGGAGATCCAGCATGCAGGCTCAAAGTCGTCACGGTGTTGCACCCATGGCTTGTCGACAGCCGGAAACTAATTTGGTTGTGGAGTTCAGATATCATAAACTAATGACATCAATAGACAATGCTATAAATATCACATGTGGTAGAGAGGCTATCAGGTGGAGCTTGAGAGTCCCCAGGAAGGGAAAAAGGAAGGGGAAAGGAAGGAGAAAGAGGAGGAGCAGCAAAGAGAGGGGAAGGGGTAGGGGAGCACAGCAGGCAGCAGGCGCATGTTACACACACCTCCGTGAGACCTCACATCATGTGCCTCCCTGGTCCATCCATCCCCTTAATTGCAAAGCCGTTTCGCCGATGACTCAAGGCGTGGCGCTGGTCGCTTGTTGTGAGTGGTCTCAAGAGCCTCCCGATTTGTGAGAACTTGTAGGACTGCGGGTGCAACCCCATTCCCCCCATTTCCCCCTCGATCGGATTCCGACACCTCGTCAAGCCGACGGAAACGAAGTCGACTCTGTCGAAGCACTCTGTCTCCAACTCTCACGTCATCCCTCGCTCTCAGAACCAAAGCTTCAGTGGGAACTGCAAAACTCATGCTTCGCAACCACAATAGGGTGTCGGCGTCAGAGCTTAGTATGTTTCCCCCAACAAACCCAATGAGCACCAATCTTTTAGCCTCCGTGTGTGTTGCCACGTCATTAGAGGGGGTCGCTTGTCCTCCATGCCATAGGCATCGTGCAGAAAAAACGGCCCCCCGCTGAATGTCCAAATTGCACCCTGGTATCCAAACCCCTTGGGCGACCCGCCGTTCAGTGCCCCCAGGAGTTTCAACCCACAGGCCCGCATTGTGATAGGAAGTAACCCCCCAGATAAGGTTAGGGAGGTGGGAGTTCTGCTTGTCTTTATGGGGCGGCGTTGGGCAATGATCCTGGTTCTCTCGAATCATAACCGTCGTGAATACTTCCCCCGGGAAGACTTCACGTAGGACCTCCACAAGCAGCCTCGTGACCCAAGGCAGTCTAAGCGAGGCCAGAAGGGGCTTGCCAGTAGACCTCGGGCTAAGTCCAAATTGCGTCAGCAAAGCCTGACCGCGTCCTTCTTGTGACTTGAGTTTGAGGGCTTTGGGCAACAGGCTCCACAATGTCCTAATTTGCCTACGTCTGCCTTCTGCAGTCTCTGGGGGAAGCATGGTGGAGGCCAGGGACTCTAAGTACTGTTCCTGTGAGGTCAGTTCCTGGAAGTTCACCATTCCACTGCAGGCTCGGCAGGGCGGATCAAGCATGGGGAAGGGCTCGGGGAGACATCCACTGGCTCGAAACAAGGGCGCACCGCTTGGTGCCGACTGCTCTGCACTATGTCTGACAGCAGTACAGCTCACCTCATCCGATACATCTTCGGCATCCAAGCGTGCATCCTCTCGCACGCCTTCCCAAACACCCACCCCCCCCCATCATTTTTTATTTGGTTTTGCAGGGAGAGGATTGGGTTTGAGGGATGAGAGCAGAGTGCGAGAGCGAGAAGGGAGTTAGCCCCAGGGACGTGAACTGCATGAGCCAAGGTAAAGCTCCCATTGCGTCACACATGTTTGGGCAGAGGCAAGACTATGGGTAAGGGGAGGAGTCAGGGGCATCAGCTCCATGCAATCCCTCCACATCAAGTGCGGCAACATTTGTTTCACAGCCATTTGCATTGCTTCTCCTGCAGAGACATCTTTGCACAGTCATGCAATGAATTAGTGTGTGCCAAATTAAATGTAGTGGGGTTGAATTAGGGGTAGGGCATTGGTCGTGCAATCATGCAAGCCCTGGCAACCACCTTCCAGTCATGGCACTTACGGCTAAACAACGGGCGGCACGCATTGGCTTGCAGGATATGAATTAGGGCAATGTCTCATATGCAGGGGTATCAGCTGCTCCCTCCCGCCGACTCAAGGACGATACGGATCTCTCCTCCACGTCCCGGTGTCTGGCTTTGGAGTGCCGGGGCCAACTGAATTGGCCTTACGGCCGGTGCACCCACTGGCCCAACCGCACCAATTGAGCCCCACGCTGTGCTGCCATCTGGCAGAGGCGGATGTCGGTACGGTGAGCGTGGGGGGAGTCGCTCCTGTATGTCAGTGACCTGTTCAAGGACAGTACTGAACTTCGTCTGATTGACGCGGGTGGTTTCCTCCAGTCGTTGCATGATGGCTTCCAGCTTCTCGAGGGTCTGAGTGTGGACTTCCTGCTCATTGCTGAAGTGTCCCATGTAGCCCTCCAGCTTGCGGAGTACATGAGAATGACCATCCAGCTTTTGGGCAAACTCACTCATGGTGGCCAGGTGGGCATCAAACTTCTGGACCAAACCTTCCAGCTGTCCTCTGGTCTCATCGCACACTCCTTTCATGGCATCCACCACTTGCTGCAGACTTTCCCTCGCTTGCTTTGCCGATCGAAGGAGGCTGACAGCGTTTTTGATCCCTTGGTCAACGTGACCATGGTTCTCCTTGGCTTCTTGCGAGAGGGCGTTGTGCATCTTATCCAGATACAGCCTAAGCGGTCCGACAGTACCCAGCGTTGCCAGGTTTTGTTGGACCCCTTTTGCAATATCGTCCAGGGTCGGCAGGGCATGAACATGCGCTTTCATCATGTCAGCGAGGCCCTTGTTGTCCTTGTGATGATGCTCCTTGAGCTCCGTCCACAGGTTTTGTATGAAGGAGAAGAGTGCCTCCACCTTGTCCACGATGCTTGTGAGGTCCTTTGCTGGCCCAGGGGCACCCTGCGCAGCTGTGGTGTTGGGAGCCTTGACGGGCCTTCTGCAGCAACATCCCAGGCAGTTAGCGCCTCTGCTGAGGAGGGAGAAGGAGCATCGTCTGCATTTGGCAGCCAGTTTGCACAATCCCCGAAAGGTCGTCGGTCCACACGTGAAGAGCATCATGACCACGAGGGCGATCGTAGAGGTACTGGCCACAAGCCACGCAGTCCTGGCTTCCGTCCATCCAGCAACATCAAGCACCGCAAGACGGTCGGCACGAAGATCCTCCATGGCGGTTCAGCTGCAATGCAGGCAAACACGAAGTAGAGCACTTTGGGCAAATGGCTATTCAGCGTACAGAGGCAATCAGAACTTGTTCGCGGCCAGACAGATTCCAGGGGTGGGGAGTCGAATTTAGGGACCGTCCTACCCCCCCCCCCCTTCTACCATCTCCAAACAGGCGGCGCCGGAATGTTATCACGACAAACATACGCTTTGCGGAAGTCCTGGGTCTGAAACACTCGTTGGAAGTGACTAAGCCCCGCGCCAAGCTTTGCAAACTTGTCAGCAATTTCATTAAGGGCAATGCCTTTGTGTGCCGGTACATGTTGAAGGTGAACCGACCCCCCTACTTCCAGCCATAGTTGCTGGGCTGCTGCAACCTCCGAGGCATTAAGGGCTGTGGAGTAAACGTCCTGCAGGATATGAATGGCAAAGAGGGAGTCCGTCCAGAGTTGCACTGGCGTCAGGATCCCAGCCCCACGGAGCTCCTTGATGAGTTTAAGGGCGTGACCTATGGCTGTGATTTCGGCTCGTATGTTAGTCGACTTGCCTGGCACTTTCCCATAACACACACTGGCTTGTCCTGCCGGAACATACGGAGTCGCAACCACTACAGCCCAGCCCCCCCTCCCTCCCGTACAGCTCCCATCTGTCACAAACCGAATGGTGTGCACGCTGTCTCTCTCAAGTCCCTCTCCAACCTCTTCTTCTTGGAGGATCTGAAGGCTCGAGGGATACGGAGGTTCAACCGGTACATGTCTCATTGGGAGGAGTCGGAAGGAGTCTCCTGTTTGCAAGAGCATGCGTCCACACAGGTCGACACCATGCAGATCCAAGTAGTACACCGAAGGTTTCAGGCCTTTGGCCTGCAGCCATTCCTCAGTGAACTCAACCCAGGCCTGCCTGTCCTGGGCATGGGTCTGCCAGTCCCTATGTTGGTGTGGTTTACGATGTTGTTGCCAAGCAAGCTGTAGCAGTCTCTCGGAGTTCGGCCAGAAGCCTAGCGTTCTCCTATGTCCGTGGACGTCCACCCACTGCCATTTGGTGGAATAGACTTGCAAGACAAGGTACGTGGGGGAAGTGAGGTCCCTTCGTGCTACATGCCCCCAGTACTTAAAGAAGGCCTGTGCCTGGATTCCAGACCACTTAGCGTGCATGCACAGCTGGGCTATCATTCGGGAAGCTCGCCGCTTCGCAACCCAGTTGCCCACGGCCCCAATAAAGACGTCTTCTCGTAGCCGACAGATAGAGGACAGCATTGTCGTGTGAAGCTTATCCAAAACATCCTTGACTGCTTGGACTGGCCGAACGCAGGGAGCCATCCATCTCCACTTAGAGGTTACGAATGTGTTTAGGAGCTGGAGTCTCTTCCGAACTGAGGAAACAGCCCTCGTTAGGATACTATAGTAGCCATGAAAGGCGTTCGAGGCGCCCGCAAGCCTGTGTGCAATCACATCCGAGCATTGCACTCCAAACCCCATCAACACTCCTAAGAAAACAAAAGTGCTGACACAGGGGATCACCTTCGAGGAGACTGTGACATCACGCTCAGGTAGGTCAGGCGACTGAAGGTATTTGCATTTTTCCACAGCTATGGAAAGTCCTATGGTGGCTAGCAAGGTCTGCAGTTGCGTTACCATCCTCTGCATCTGGTCATGGTTTTCTGCCAGTAGGACAAGATCATCAGCATACATGACGCAGAAGAGTTTGAAGCCCTCCGTTACAAGCCAAGTATCCTCCGTGTCCTGCCACGTCTGGTACAGAAACCCTACGTGCCAATCTAACACACGACTGAAGAGTTCGGCACTATACGGGCTTCCCTGCAAGAGGCCCTGGTGGAGCTTTTGTTCCCATTCCATCTGACCAAAGTGCAAATTCACTGTCGTGTCAGTGATCATACGGAGAAGGACGAGGGACTCTACGCTACCCCCTAGTGTCGCGAGCCACGCAGCCACTGCTTCATGCCTAAGTGTGTCGAAAGCCTGAGAGATGTCTACCTTCAGGGCAATCAGTGGCTTGCCCCACTCTTGGCTAAGCCTTAAGGCATGCTGGACCGCGGCCGCCCCATCGATGCATTGGGATCCACTTATGCCTGACAGCTGGAAGGCTCGGGGTGGCTTAGCATGGGCGCGAATCCTGGTCCACAGCAGCTTCGTGAAGAGTTTCCCCACACATGCTGACAAGCAGATCGGTCGCAAATCCTTCGGGTTACGTGGTTCAGGAATTTTCGGGATTAGGGTGATCTGTCCAGTGGTCCACTCCAGAGGGATAGGCCGTCGTTGGTGCAGGACATCATCGAGGTACCGAACAAATTCGCATTGTAGGGGTGTTTGGAGCAGGACCTGCAGGAGTTCATAGGGAATGCCATCTCTTCCCGTACTTTTACCGTGCTTACACCCTGCAAGCAAGATCTGAATTTCCTCCAGTTCCAAGGGCTTCGCGTCCTGGAGGGGTCCTGCTCGTTGAAGGTACATGGCCTGGGGGAGGCCAGGAACCACAGGATCCTTCGGTGTGTATTTTCGTGCATAGAAAGTACGTAGGTCCTTGATGGCCTGCTCTTCACCTCCCGCTCGCTGAACATAAGCCCCATGGCTAGCTTTGACAGACATCTTCTTTTTGAGGAAACTGATGGCTGCAAAATCCCCATTAGCACTTCTCGCAAGGATGTCCTCCATCCACTGTCTCCTGTCGGCAGCACGTCGTTGCACAATTTCATGAGCCAGTCGTCTAGCCTCGCTGCCTGTAGCCCGTTTCCGCTGTTGGATTAGGTCCCTCAACTCCTTCGAGTCTCGGTACCTACAGCTGGACCCCCGAAAGGTCACTTGCCTTGCAACCCGCGAGAGGTCATCCTGCGCATCAAAGGTGGCAGGGTCAATCTTCCCAAGCTCCTCAAGGGCTTGGGCATTGTTGACTCGCCATTTCCCGCACCTATGTTGGGGCCTCTGTCTCACCCGGCATACTGGTTCAATCGAACGAAAGGCTGCCGCTACTGCCCTATGGTCAGTGCCCAAGAGCTGATCTGAGTCCCAGATGACTCTGTCATAGAACGTGTCCGGCCGAGGCGTCCTATAACATATGAAGTCGATCCTGGACGCAGCACCTGTGGTGTTTGTCCAGGTCGGGATTTCAGGGCAGGTACACTGCAATCCAAGGTCCTGCCGGAGGAGATTCCACATAGCTTTCCTATCATCTGCAACATGCGTGTTTGGGAGATCAGCACTTAATTCATAATTGGCATCGCATCCAAGAATCAAAGTGTCATGGACGCGAATCGTGCACGTAAAATTCCGAATTTCTTGCATCATGGAGTTCCATACCTGCGAAACATCTTCTCGTTGAGTGTGAGGTAGGTGTGCTGAGAGAAGGAAATACGAAATGCTAGCATTTTTTAGATGGAGTGCTAGGCCTGCACTGAGAACTTCGACTTTGCGAACTTGATGTACTCGCTCTAAAGGAATGCCTATGGCCTGTCCTCGAAACGAGTCCTTAGGAGAGCAAACAAAAAACATCATGCATCGTCCTGCCAGAGAGATCTCCTGGGATATCCAAGGTGCTTTGAGCCCATCACAGCCCCCAACTTCCTGCAGAAAGACAAAATCAGTCCCTTCAAATCCAAGAATATCCCAAACTGTATCCAAAGCTGGGAGGGGCTTCCCTCGCATATTCCAGGTGATTGCATGCAAAGGGGCAGGCTGTTTCGGGAGGAGTCACTCCTGGCGGCGAGTGCCACCATTGGCTCCGTACTGCTGCCACATATCCTGCAGAGCCTCTTCAGGGTGTCCTGTGATGGCTGAGAAAATGTTGGCCTTGAGGAACCAGGCAGTATGATTACCCTTAGCATCTGGCAAGAGCTGATCATAGGCTTGCACATCTGCCCCCGTGTCCATGCACCCTAAAGCTTGCCAGCGTCCCACAAAGAGCTTGCCTCGCCAATCAATGTCAGGTTCTTCGCGCTTTTTGTGGGGGTCCGCAAAGGGAACTGCTTTATAAAACTCCTTGGACGCTACCAGGGCCTGTATCTTGGTCCTTGTTTCAGGGCTACGATGCCTCGTGATCCAGAGGGTGACATTTTCTTGGTCAGGCAGGGAACTGGTCCAGGTCTCCTTCTTAAGGGCATCGAGAACTGTATTCTGGAAAACTCTGCGAAAGCCTATGGGAGCATCAGGGTCAGGGAACCTCAGTTGCACTCTCACAAAGCTGGTACGTGCGTAGGGGGCTCGAAGGGACAACCACTTGTCTGAGATGCCTGCAGCTTGGAAAAGACTCTGCACCTCGTTCTCTGCATCTACCCGTCTGGCATCTCTCCAGCCACCAACCACAATGTCCAACTCTTCTTCCGCATCCCTTGCTCTGTCTCTCTGAACCGAAGGAGATCGGGCAGGGGATCTGCCATAGTGGGGGTGTCCTCCTGCCTCAGTCCCCGTCCCCCGCATCCGGGGGGGGGTTTGGCTGCGTCGGAGTTCCTGAACCTCCTTCTCAAGAGCATCAATGCGAGCAATGGACCGTTCATGAAGATCATTGTGTATACTAGCTGTCTTCTCTAACTGCTCAACCCTCAGACCATGAGACTGCACATCAGTAGCAAGCTCCAACAAATCCTTATGCGATCGGTCCTGTTTGTGGTGGAGTTGTTGCATGCTACTCTGCAGGTTGCTCTGGAGGGCCACGATCCAGGGGGGGGTTTCTTGTGGCAGCAGGGCCTGTGGGAAGGCAGTTGGGGGGCGATCGCCATCGCCAAGCTCTCCCGTGGCCGCAGCAAGTGCCGCCCTTGCAGCCAAATCATCATCAGTGGCATAGGTGTTTTCTCGAGCATCCAAAACTTCATCTTTCGAGCTATCCCTGAGGCGGCTTGTCGTCATGTCACGCTGGTTTTCATCTTCACTGTCCCTTTGCGTGTCAGTCAGGTCATATACTTCAGGTTTGCCTTGCATGGTGTTGTGGGAGGATCCTAGGCCAAACTCAGGCAGGTCTCGTTTTTTCTCTACCTCTCTTCTTTCTCCCCCTTCACAAATCGCATGTGTTTCCATGTTTGCGTGGTTCAGGTCTTCTTGCTGCATGTCTTCATCAACAAGTATCTCGCCCGTTGACAAGCCTGTTCTGGGCTTTTTAAGGGCGCCCTCTTTGGCCTTCTCTTCATCACTGGAACTAGGAATCAGTCCGGTGGTGGCCAAGACTCCTGGGCTGCGTCCAATTCCGCTGCCGACGCCGACAATCTGTTTCTCTCTCTTGCCATGGGGCTTATTCAGGGGAGAAGACTCAGTCAGGGGGGGGATAGCCCGAGGCCCAGCGGGTAAGGGTTTCAGCAGCAAGTTCGTCCTAGTCAGATTAGGCGCTGGTAACAATGCTCCATGGTCTCCAGACTCCAATGCAGATGTTGGGTGCTCAGGCTTGCTCTCCAGGCATTCAGTTCTCTCAGTTTTGACATCAACTGAGGCCCCCGCAGAGAGGTTGGGGATGGGACGGGGTGTAGCCGCTTTGATGGTCTGTGCTGTCTGTGCTGTCTGTGCCACCAAGCTGCCCTCTAAGATGGAGCTGTGTCGAGCAGCTCCCAGGGAATTGAAGGGAGGTGGCTGTTTGGTTTCAACTCTCGAGTTTGCCTGCATTTCTCTAGCAAGGGAAGACTCCATTCTCTCTCTCTCTCGCTCTTCCTCAGTTCTGCGTGACGAACTCGACATCCAAACCGACCGATTCCAGTCGCAGGCAGCAAGAAGCAGGAGAGACGAGAGGTGGAGGGCGGGCTCCCCACGAGAGAGAAGAGAGAGAGGGGGAAGAAAGAAGGCCCAGGAACTGTCTGCCGCGCTCCCCTTTTGTCTTCCGGGTCACAACAACACACAAAGCACTTTTGGGGACACTGTTTTTTCCTCTCAAGGCTTGAGCCTTGTAGCCATTTTAGGGTTTAGGGTTTAGGGTCACCAAGATCTCCTCTCCAGGATGACAGGAGTGTGTTCACCCGTAGGCAAGGTTTCGGGGGAGCTTCAAAGTTGTGATGGCATTGCGGTTCTAGGAGAGACCCCTGCACTTTCAGAGTGGTGAACTTCCCATCACAATTCTGTCAAGGGAGCCGACCTTTTTAGGGCGCGGTAACACACAAGCCCTGAAGCAAGAGGCAATTTGCAGTGCAACTCAACCGGCACAAGCCGCTGTCTCAATATCTGACATGTGACAGAACTGACCGGACATACTGGCGCTGAAATCATAGTGCCCGTGCACAACTCGGTCCATCAGAACTCTGGCCGACACCAGCCTGAGCTGCGCAAGATTCCGCTCTCTCCCGTTCTGCTGCTCTTGGTGTGCCTGTGCCGGGCCAAGTAGCAAGGAGGTTGCATCCATCTTCTCGGCGACAGCCGCCATCTCCGAAAAACTCGCCTCTGTGCAGGCCATATCCAACAGCTAGTCCCTGACACCCCTTTTTTACCACCTGCGGCCAGCCCCCTGTGGATTCCTAACAGTAGTTTGTGCTTCTCTGCTCCAGCCATCTGCATCCGGGGATCCTCGCCAGGGCTCGCCTGGTAGTCCTCTGCGCATGCTTACCGAACTCGGTGGCCCCTCCCCAGACAGCTTGTGCGCTTTAGCCATTCCTACACAATGACTCCTGGACGCGCTCCAGAAGTAAGATGGCCATAGGAGGCAGCGCGGCCGGCCCCTCGCACGCTGATGCATGAGGCATGCTGCCCTGCTTCTGAAGACAGCATCTTGACACCAACTGCAGCACCACTTTCGAGACGCAAGAAACCACAGAGCCAAACTCTGCACCAAAAAGGAACATCAAGCCTCTACCAAGGCATGGTCTTGAGCGGTCTCACCTTCACAGGAGACAAGACCCTGCCAGCTCTACAGTTGAACATGATTCTGGTGTTTTTGGGGGCGCAGGGATGGACTGCCCGTGCTGGTGTGGGGGACGACGCATCTGAAGCTTCGCAAGTTGAATGGGAACTAGCCAGGGGTCGAAGTTAAAGTCGCTAGTTGCGCAACATGAGAAGCGAGTGCTTGCTCAGAGCGTGCTGTCACTTGCAGTATACGCATCCCTCAATCCAGAATTTCCGCGGGATGAAGTTCTTGCAGGGAGGTGTCGGCTTCCGATCAACACTTCAGCTTTGATCATGTGCTGAAAAACGCAAGGTTTGGAGGCCTAAACTAGAAACTGCGGGCCTAAACAAGAGCCTACAGGACGTTGAGGCCTCATCAAACCGGCTGAGCTAGAGACTGCAGGGCCTAAGGGAAGCCCAAATTTCCAAGCTGAAGGGCTGAAGCCCCAATACAGGGGGGTCGGGGGGATTAATCGGAGGTCAATAGTATGTTAACATGTGTTGAATGCACTCTCTGCGGCCCAAACATGGTGAGCATCATCGGATGACTGAGTGTGACTCGTATTCGTGTCCTGCCAAAACAAGAAGCAGTTTCTCATCTGCCGAGAACCCCTGCACCTGCCGATGTCGACGGATGTTCGTCGCTCATGCCCTTGGCACGGTTCGCCTGGGATGCAAAACCACAACCAAAACAAACAAACACACACACACACACACACACACAAAAGGCCAAAAACCCCAAGCCCTAAGCACAAAGGGCCCCTCCCCCTTGTTCTAGAGCGCTTCCCTAAAGCAGGCCCAGCCTTGATCACGTCCAGAAGCTGTGACCTTAGGAGGTCAAAGTCTTTGGCCATCGCCTGGAACGCCATGGTGCCTGAGAACAAGACTCAGGAGATTGGGGCCTTTAGGGCTTACTCAGCGCTGTCTCTTTGGGGGTTCCCTCTTCTTCTTCTGGGCCCCCCCAACTCTCTCACTCTCCCTCTCTCTCTCTCTCGTGTTCCATGTGCTCTTCTGGCAGCTTTCCTGGTTATCCTGTGACATCGATGAACACGTGGATCCGAGTCACTGACGCACTTCGGGCCCCTGAAACAGTTGGAAACCCTCAGAGCCTCTGTTTGCCGAAATGGCTGCGACACTTTCTGTCAAAGCTGGCGGCTTCAGCAACTTGAGATTCGTTTTGAGGGCTTCTGGCCACTCCCGAGGCTTTCCTGCAACGGCAGGGCAAGGCACAAGCAAAGCAAAGCCTGGCCTCCTTGGGAGCGTCCTCGGACCTCGGCTCGCATCGGATCTCTGAAGCACCGGCATCTCCACGCACCGCCGCTCTTCGTGCGCCTTTTTCCTCCCCCTCACACGGGGAGACCCGCTTGCTGGTCTGCCCCGGTTCCTTGACCAAGTCGACCGGCTCAACCGCCAAAGAACCCTGAGCGTGATTGCCAGAACCCTGAGAATGGGTGTTTGGGCCATCTTGGGCCATTCGACTTCAGGTCTCTGTGGGGCGTTTGTGTTTCAAGCTTTGGGCTTGCTGGAGTTCATTTTTGCACAGCTCAGCGAGGCTCAGCGTAGCGGGAAGCCGTCGCCCTCCTCACGCAAGAGACGCAACAGCGGCAGCTGGCGAGGTTGCTATCCAGTGCTATCCAGGCCCCAAGAAGCGAGCCCCGTCCTCTGAGTCGGAGCCATCCGGCTCCAGCGTATGGGCGAGGTGCTGCACCACCCTTTTCTTCTCCTTCAGAAGATGCTACACCCTTCGTACATCCTCAAAAAGCAGCACGCCGGGCACCTCTGCAAGCCACGTACCAGCTGCGCACGGGCAATTCTTCAACAGAACAGAATGAGGTGACTCCTCCAGTACCGCCAGCTCACGCTTCAGGGCCTCTCAGAGAAGGGAAGAGCGATATAGATACATATATATATATATGCCCATATATACATATATATATATATATACATATTTATATAACCAGAACTCCGGCGCCACATGCGTGTGCCAGCGTGCGCCACACGGGGCCTCGAGCGCCGCCGCGCTCTTCGGTCCCCGTGGGGCCCCGCTTCCCGGAGCCGCTGCGGGCGAGGCCGGCGCCGGCGCCGCCGCCGCCGGCGCGCTGCGGCTCGGAGGCTGGAAGCCTCTGAGCTCATATAGGTTCATGGGTTCATGAGCTCTCCCTTCTAAGAAGTTTCAAGAAAAAACACGCAGGAAAAACATATCTGCAAAAAAAAACCATCGGCAAAAGAGGGAACGCGAAAGCCTGTCTGAGTAAACTTGAGAGGGGGCAGAATGCCAAAGCAAAGAACAAGGCATTCACAACTTTCATCAGCACTCAAAGTCACTGCGTTGCTCGCCAAGTGGCCCAGAGCGGCCACGCCTTGGGTGGCCGAGAGAGTTGCTTCTTGCAGGGCCTGCCCGTATCGCCACACATGCTCAAAGCAAGGCGAGGCAACCAGATTTGGCCCAAACAGAAGTGCTTTACGAAGCAGCCCGATTCGACCTTACAAGGCACACACACACACACACACACACACACACCCCTCTCATCACTGGCACCTGTAGCTTCTCCACCAGAGCGCCCAACTCCCCTGCAAAGGGTCCCTCCAGGGCAACACGCTGGAACAACTTGGAAGCTTGAGGAACCACGTGAGCTACAAGGGTGCTTTGAGAAGAACACTCAGAGCAACCTCCACCAACCCGCTTCGGGCTGCAACCCTGAAAGTTTGAAACTTGAGGTTCCGGAGACTGTCTGCAGCGTCAGGTTTCAACGGTTCGGAATACAGCCTGGAGGGCTTCAAGATTCAGGTTTCGGACCTTCAGACTACAAATTTCGATTACTTTCATCCAACAACACAAGATCAAACGGAGCCAAACAAAGAGAGACCTGCACAACTCCATGGCGACCAACATCTTCTGAGTGGCAGCTGAACTCGCAACCACAACATATGCAGAGTCTTATTCGTAGCACGTGAAAAATTAGTGAAAATTAATGTGTATATATGTATATATGTATATATACAAATATATATATATATATATACATGTGTATAAATATACACACACACACACACACATATGAAACCCACAGTTCCTCTGCCTCCTGCTGCATAACTGGGGTTGGCGCTGGCTCCAAAGGGCTAGGACATGGCGCCTCGGAAGAATTGTGCGAGGGAGTTCGACGGTTTCGATCGGCCAGTTGGCATCGCTGTCGGTCTGTTTGGTGAGTTCGCCAACACCTATTTCTATGATGTGGAAAGCAGGGAAGCTTGTGGCAAGCTTGCAGAGTCTGTTTTGCTATCATGTTGGCCCTTTGCCTGCATGGACGGTGCGTCGGCTGCTCCAGGTGGGTCATTGGGATCCACGGCCACCTGCGCGCTTTCGGGCATGGGCTGTGGGGCCTCTGAAAAATGGGAGTCTATATGGGTGTGCACGCACTGCTGCTCTTGCAGTTGTTCCCAACAGCACCTGCGTCACCTGAAGCTTGGGGCCCACGACTTTGGGATTGATCTCCGGCTCGTCCTGGGTGTCCTCCTCCAGGGGAACACCACAGTTACGAAAGACTCCAGAAACAACACCCACACGAACACACCGACCCCCTTCTGCCCTCATCCATAGGATGAAACCCCTCCTCGGGCGCACTGGTTTCGGCATCTGCTTGTTGCGACAGCCTGGGTTTGAAGCTGATGCCCCCAACGTTGCCCAAGTCTACCCACAAAGCCATTGGATATTAGCCTTGCAAGACTTCACCTCGCACGCTGCAGCCCCTTACCCTGCCCCAAACCCCCAGCCTCTCGACCAGTTTCAGAAGGCCTGCAGTCCAGGAGTTCGCGCTGAAGGGACACGAGCACTCCCCACAAGCCGCATCAACACTTGGAACTGAATCTGCCACTCCGAACCCCGTGGCAGGTTCTGTGTGCGCCTGTGATGGTCTGCTGCTTGGACTTCAAGTCGAGCTGAAGTCGCTTGTTCTTCCGCCTAAGAATGGCGACCTCGCGGTACCTCGAGGGAGAGGACAAGAATCCCCACATTTCAAGCGGGGGCAAACTGCAAAATCCTCAGGCTTTGCTACGCAGACAACAGCGAATGCTAGGGAACCCTAGCAGGGCTTTTGGCCACGAAATCCTACCTCCCACACAAATACCACGGCTTTGCCGCAGCCCCCATTTCCTTCCGCCAGGGCACTGCAGGTGCTCGTCGCTCTCCCGTGAAGTGGACTCAGTCTTGATGGACTTACCTGCTCTGAGGTGTTTCCCTAGAACTGACATGGGGGGGTTGTTCTGCATCAAATAAGTTCCGTCCATTGGCCTTTTTGAAACTAAAATGGACCCGAAAGAGGACCCTAATTCAGACGAGTGCACAGGTTAGGAAGCATTCAGCAAGCACACCTAGTCCTCCCTGGGTGCAGTTTCAGGCTTGCACGCAACCGAGCCGCTTTGGCTGTCGCGCAAAAGCTCCGAGATAGTTTCGTCTTTTCTCCTTGCGACAAAGGGTTTACATGTCGGCATGAAGGAAAGAACCTCAAGCATGACTGAATAATCAAAACACAGTAGCGACCTGGCACTGCGCACTGCGTTCACCAAACTCCTGACCCAAACACCTTGTCTGCCAAGGCTCTTGACGATGTCACGAAGCATGCTATTCTCTTGCCGAAGCTGCTCACAGAGCTGCTCCTCGCGGCAGTGAGAATGAACAGCACGCCTCTTCAGCGTGGTCTGCAAGTCTCATCTCCGCTGGGATCTGTCCTGCAGCTTTAGCTTCTCCTGGAGGCCTTGTCCGCTCGCCTTGCCCTGCGGTCTCGACATGTGGGGAGATGTGACTTTTTCTGCAAGACTTACAAATCTAAAGGTTCTCAACGTGGTAAGCTCATGCAATGCCAACACATTGACGACACCAACAGAGAGGCCACTGGGGCTCTCCGACTTGGGAACCTCTCTCTCTAATGATTCTTCGCTTGGTCGCTCTTGACTATAGATGTCCCGGCTGGGACTTGAATGCCTAAGACAAAACCTGGAAATGTGCTGCTTAGAAGTTCTGAAGTGACCGCTGAGGATGCGGTTTGGTGGCTGCCTGATTCTAGCCACGAATGTCTGCTGAGCTTATCATTCAAGCGGGTGAACGACTCCGCATTCTTGGGTTGGAAGTGCCGTTCTAACAAATGATCAGAGGCGTCACAATTCCACAAAAAGCGTTTGTGCACCGACAAGCGATCGCACACGCCTCTATCTGACAGTGGCCGAAACCCGGACATCAAGCGAACAAGACATAGTCTGGTTTCTCTTTCTTTTTACAAGTCGGCCGGAACTTTGAACCAAGGGGACCACGGTACTTCAGCATAGCGACGCCGGCAAAGTGAAAGCCCTTCATGCAGAATGCAGTCAGAGGTTACAGTAAGAAAGGATTGAATGTCCAACCCACACCTGCACGAATTGCGCGAAAGTACGAAGTGCTTGGCAGGACTAACGCGAGCTCTTCTTCTTTGATCTTCTTTGGGGCTTGGCGGACTCCTCGTGCAGGCCGCACGCCCCGCCACCTCTCCGTCCTTGAGCCTGTAAGACGATCGGGAACCCGGATGGCCGGTATCCGGCTGAAGCACGCGGACATTCCTCTAAGCTCCCTCCAACGTGTCATGCGACACATCCAGCTCAGCAGCAAACACACCTATGGACTCCCGATCCGTTATCGGCCCCGCACAGGCTTGGGCCGTGAGAGACTTCTCTCGCTGTTTTGTTTTTCTTTCTTTCTTTCTTTCTTTCTTTCTTTCTTTCTTTCTTTCTTTCTTTTTTCTTTCTTTCTTTCTTTCTTTCTTTCTTTCTTTCTTTCTTTCTTTCTTTCTTTCTTTCTTTCTTTCTTTCTTTCTTTCTTTCTTTCTTTCTTTCTTTCTTTCTCTCTCTCTCTCTCTCTCTCTCTCTCTCTCTCTCGCTCTCGCTCTCTTTAGATACCCTGAAGACAACAATGACCTCACCCCTCCCGAGGAGTCTTCGGATGGCCTCGGGCGCCTGGGCCTGACCTTGATCAGCCAGGAGGAAGCGGAGGCCAAGGAGCCACGCCTCGAGGTCTTCCTTGGAGGTGCCTGGAATGCCCATACGGGGCTCACGGATTTGAGGGGCTTTAGGGAGATGTAGGACTTAGGCTTTGTTTAAAGTTTCAGCCGGTTCTTTGGCGGACTTGCACCTATGCAGAGAACCCCTCGGTGTATAGCTGCTGCACCACTCGCCCTCCAGATGAACAAACATTGCATTGCATCCCGTTCTGCAGATGTCCGAACCCAAGCAAGTTTGGCTACGCACAGGCCTAAGCTCAGAGAGCACAGCCATACCGAGGCCCTGGGCAAGCCGGCCAACCAAACAGTCTGTGATACAGGTTTTCTCCAAAAAACCAAACAAAACCTTAAACCCTGAACTCTAAACCCTACACCCCCATCTTCTGCGTGGCCCCTGGAAGTACCCGGAGAGCCCGAGCCAAACCAGGGCGCAGATCAGCTCGAGCTGTGCCGGCAGGGCCGAGCCCTTCTCCTTGACTGTGCAAGAAGTGCTTTGCGCAAAGAGAGAGAGAGAGAGAGAGAGAGAGAGAGAGAGAGAGCGAGAGAGAGAGACGCTTAACCTGTAACCGTCCTGCCGCAGCTTGACCTGCAGCGCGTGGTGACCCTCACCTAGTGGAAGCACAAGGCCAAAGTGAGGTGCTGCAAGGGGCGGAGGCGGAGGGGCCCCCGAAAATGTAGAGGAAGAGCTGGCGACATGGATGCACTGACTGCGCAAAAGCCGACAGAAAGACAGGCACTGGAAAGCTCTCAGGCGCAGAGACCTGTTGATCAAGGGTGCTCATGTCAGGTGACCGTTGGAGACGCCGGGCAGGCTTGGAAGGCTAGTGTCTTCCACGGACAAGATCTTGCTCAAGGGGATCTGCCTGTCAAGCTGTCAAGCAGAAGGCCGCTGTGAGTTGCTCTACGAATTCCTCTTTAGCCACGCAGAGAAAGCGGCTCCTCGAGGGACCACTCCCTTCACAGTCCCTCCAATTGAGGAGCTGCAGGTCCTTGTCTTCGACAACGCGCAAAGACATGCAAGGACCAAATCAGCACGGGAGACTAGCAGCTTGGCTTCAATGGCTTGAATGACTGGGTTTCGGCTTTGGGGAGTTTAGGGCTTAGGGAGTTTAGGGTTCAGGGGGGAGTTTAGGGAGCTTAGAGTTTAGGGGTTTAGGGTGCAGGGTCCTGAGAGATTTGGAAGGAACAGATCTGGAGATCCAGATCTTGACCCTGCGCCCCTGCCGTGCGCAGAAGCAGTGGCGTGCCAGCCTGACCGCAAAATCGCATAATACACTACTGAGCTAATACATTCACATAATCATATAGTGATAGAATGATAGGTTAGGTTAATATAAGCTATACTCATATACTACTTCATATCATGCTACCATTCGATAAGGATATGCACCGACAATCAAAAAAACAATACGCGCCCAGGAGCTCACATAAACGACAGGCCTGGAGCTTGCGGATATGTCGTCGCAAGGCCAGGAACTCCTCGTAGTCTCCCTCTTGGCTCATCCCCCCTTATTGGGAGATCTGGAGGAGCTCCGAGGTGGGCTCCAGGCTTCTCCCCTTCCGAGTCTCCGAAGGGGGGGGGGGGGGAATCTTATTTCTTCTTGAGCCTTGAGAGCGGCTTCGGAACCTCCCTGGGGCGCGCAGGGAGGGCACAAGGTGCGCGTGAATACGAAGTCAGCTAACATCCTGAAACCTCGGCTGCTTCGCGCATCTTTACAGCATCACATAGAAGTATAGTGATGTTCTAATTATAAAGAAATTTCATCAATATACGAATATAGAAAATCAAAATATACGAATATGATATTAAGATAAGAAAATGGCACAATAACACAGTCATACCAGAATTTCGATGTAATCATATACAATATTTAAGTACGATATATATATATATATATATAACAATATAAACGACAACAGAAGACTCGAGAAGGGCAGCGGCCTCACGAGACACAAGGCCCCGGCTCTGTAGATTCGTGACCTTCATTGTGCGGTTGACATGTCAGGACGCGTGATTTTAGTAACCTCCCCTGCTTTCCCAAGTCAGCCGATGGCGGCCTTAGCCCGCCATCGGGCTCTGAGTTCCTGGGCCCAGTTGTCCGTTGGAGTTGTTCCCGACGGTCAGGAGCCGGGTGTTGGAGAAGGTAGACCTGCGACCCCCGCTGTGGCGAAATGACTAGCTGATTGCATCAACGCCTGCTCTACCAGTAGGCAACAACAGCACTGTTACCAACTACTATGTCAGCGCTTGGGCGAATTCTAGACGCGACGGATTGCATGTCTCCGGCAGCGTGCACATTGTGCACCTACCGCCCCTAAACCAAGGTGGCGACTCGACGCACATCGTGATACACTCAGCCCCGAACCCTCGGTTGTTCGGCCTTGAGCAGATGAAACGCTGAACCACATGGAAACACGGCAGATTCCAGAAGATGCCAGACATGCACTTTTCTGGGTGCTAGGCTCCATGTTCTCCAGCAGTGCGGAGTGGTTGCTGCCACAGGAGACTTCAATGAAGTGGCGCGCCCTCAGACCGTGGATTGCGGAGTGGCAGACTTCGCACTTGGCACCCAAGTCAACAGTCGGTGATCGGAAGGACGCATGGAAGGACAGAGTTTTCAAACTACCAAGACCTGACGAACACCGAAGAACCTACAAGACTCCATCAAACTCCATGTTAAGCTGCCTTGCGACACCCGCATTCCCACGGCTTTATGAACATCTGCGAAATCCCATGCATGCTCACAAACCCGCATGGTGGACTCAGGCTCAGGTGTGCTTGCTCAAGGACACCCATCCCATGTGAGCTTTCTGCGTCATTGCGGGCCAGGGGAGGTTTGTGGTTGGTTGCATGACCAGACTATCCCGCAGTTCCCCTTGCCATGCTGAGGTCGTCGCGACTGACCCTTCTTCTTTTGGGAGACTTCACCTTCCTCGAACCTCAAGCTTATGCTGCAGACTTTGGGCGTGCCACAAGCATCTATAACCTGAAAGCAAATTAGATCTGCACAGCACCACAGCTATGTGGGCGCGTGCTGGGGGCCTAAAAGCCGACGGACGGAATGAAATCGGGGGCTAAGGGGGCTGCAAGCACAGAGAGGAAGCCTGTTGTAGGATGGACGATGCCCTGTGGATTAGTGCTCAGCGACGTGTCTGAAGGCAAGCGGCACTCGATACGTGCAGGGCCAGTGGATTCCGTTGATCTCGCACACAGCCAGAAGTAGCCAGTGGCAAGCATGGAGTCATGATCATGAGTCTTGGATCAGAAGTCGAATCTGTGCCTTTTCCGCTTTGGAAGTCGAAAACTTGTCGCCCATAGTCTTCCTGCGTGAGAGGCGGCGACAGTGCAAAGTCTCGAAAGGTCTCAAACAGCTCCAGCGTCGCACCTCATTCCGAGGGGGTTGTAGCGGTTGTTGCCCCAGCCTCACGTTCTCCACATCCGCAAGCCAGCCATGAGCCATACTCCAACTTCTGGTTCTTAACAGTAGTAATATACACACGATGGGGTGAAGATGGGGAAGTACAGGGACAGCTTTGGCATCATTGTTTTGTTCGGACTCCGTCGGTCTGTCCTGCAAAAATCAACAAAACCATCTCTGGGCCGCCGAGCCCACAATCTTGGTTCCCTCCTCGTCATCTGCAGCACGTGCCAACAAGATGGTGTGCCTGAGTTCAATCTGCCTTTACTTGATACTCCTCATTGCCACGCTATGGAATGACCCCAAGCCCCCAGAAGAGGCCCACACGCATTGCCGCAAGAGACTTTCCGGGGCTCAGCCTGGCAAGGGGCACAACCTGCTTGCAGCTTGTTTCCCATGTCCAGCACATGCATCACAGCGCAAGCAAGACGCATCCTTTTCCGTTGCAGTTCGGCCGAGGGGCCCTCCCCGCACATCGCATTAACCAGGTGCCAAGATGGATCCTAAACCGCCGGCACCCTGGCCCGTGGACATCTTGGGCCTATGGAGCCTGCACAGCAGCTGGCCCAAACCTCCAGCTCTCCAGAGAAATACCTAGGCACCCCTATGAAACGACGAAACGGATCCCACTGATCCCCCTGTAGCGACAGCGGACATCTGAACGCATCCTCTGCTCCGATATCACTGCAAGGTCCACTTTGCCTGGGCACGCGCCACGGCAATGTGTCCGACACCGCCTTGGCCCTGCTATGTCCTACTGAGCGACTTCCCGCCTTTATTCAAGTGATTCAGCCAAGGGTCGGCGTCCACTTTCGGAAGCACGCAAGCCAAGAAGGCAGCCGCCTTCTCCTCCACATCCTCCTGAGAGCAAGGTTGCGAAGGTGGACCCTCAAGTTCAAAGAGCCTGGAAATGTTTACCTTTTCTCTGGACTGTAAAAAACTAGGCTCACCAGTCCCAAAAGCCACCGCCACACAGGGACCAAACGTCTCCTACGGAGCCCCGAGTCTCGAATAGAGGCTCGGGGAGCAGACAATTCATTCCAGTCATACAGGTTTAGGGTTTGGGGTTTAGGGTTTCGGGTTTAGGGTTTAGGGTTTCGGGTTTAGGGTTTCGGGTTTAGGGCTATGTGTCAACATGCTCTCTTGGAATCCCATCCCAGTGACCGGTTCTGTAGTGGAAGGCGGCATTCGGGCCAGCCAATCATCCGTGCAATCCACCTGCCAAAGCAAAGCAGGGAGGGACCATGATCATACTCCGAATTTGAGGGAGGTGTTCGTTCACCTTTCATTCGCAGCCGAAGGGTCGTCCCGAACTTTGCATCCCATGCGCTGTATCACTTGAGCCTCTGCCCGTTACAGGCCACTCTGCCTGTGTTTTCTTGGGGTCTGCCAACCCCTCGTTTCTACCTTATCACGCAGATGCCTATGTGGAAATGAAGCTGTAGGGCCGTATGGCCGTAGGAGGCCAAATCGGCTGAGGCACGCCCACTGATGTCAGAGAGGCTTGCACCTCCGCCTGGACGGCTTGCGCAGCATCCCCAAGCCCACGAAACTCGAGATGATCCTGGCAAAGTTGGCCAAGGGTCGCAGCATGATGTAGTGACGTTTGGAGCGTCACAAGCTTAGAAGGTTTCTGACTGTCCTGCCAGACCAGCTTGTTCTGGGTGGCGGCGGCCGGCCCTGTGCTCCGGCAACAGACATGCCCTCGTGGCGCAGGAGCTGGGCAGCCAGACTGGAAGGCCTCGCAAGAACTTTTTATGTCGGAGACTCCCCCCCCCCAAGTGCCTCGCCTCGAGATGCATCCGCGCGTCCCCCGGCCGCTCGAAAGCGATGACTCTCACGGTAACAATGAGCCCGGCCAGGTCACTGAGCTCCACCTAGCAGGAAATCACCCCCTCCATGCAGCAGAAATGAAAATGTGCTGTGCTCGCATTGCGATGCCCAGGCGCATCGAAGGTCTCACAAACCTGATGGGGGTCTTGAAGGCTGCCAACTTCTGCTCACCGGCGTGTTACAATCGGATGCCCTCACTCACAAGGCTTGTTTCCTGTGCCACGCCTCGACGGAGCAAGCGCCCACTCCCTGAGCAGGAACGCCAATGCGAAGCCGCAGGGACCCCAGAAGGGTTTCCTCTCAGGGTTTGGATCCAAAAGACCTCGCTTCTCGCATATTCCCGCAAAAGGCATGCAAAGAAGCTCTTTGCCCTGCACCTTCTGCCCAGTGCCCAGCAGTGGTAATGAGATCTCCCCATGCCCGCCCTCTGGGGACATCTGGAAGAGCCCCATTCCCAAAGTCTCCTGGACAACGTTGGCGCAAGCACAAGGAGTCACCAGCATGAAGTTGCATTGACATGCAGTGACTGCAATCAGAATGCATCCCCTGTGCTTTCTTCAAGCCTGGGAGGTTGAAAGGCTCTCGCCCAGCAACGCGGCTCTCAGAACGACAGGTGCAAAGACGCGCAGCTCGAGCACGAGGACTGACCACAGGGGGCAGCAACATCGGTGGGCCACCAGTCGGCCCAACTCCCAATACATGCGCGCCAAGGATTGGAGGTACTGCTTCCAGTACCTTGCCCGGGTCTCCTTCTCTTCAGGGGCCAAGGAGCTGAAGTCAGCCGCGGTGGAAAGTTCGGCCCGACCCCAATCGAAGACCTTCACCGCGACTCGCGGCTGCGTGCTGAACTTCCCAGTCTCCATGGCCAATGCGACCGATGAGCCGATCCACTGCTGCGGAACATCCAGGCCCAGCACAGCTGTAAGCAGCCGCTCCAGCTGCTTGAAAGCACCTAAGGCGGCTTTCTGGGCGTGAAGCTCCCCAAGGGCACCAAGAGCCCCATCAGAAACATCAGAAACATCAGAAACATCCAGCCAGCACTCCAAGAAGTCGTTGGCCCGAAGTCTTTGCAGCATGAAGCGCCGGATGACCTTGGCCGAGATCTTGGCGGTGGCCAAGCTCTTGGTTTGGAGCACTTGGGCCATCCGCCTCTCTAAGGACCTTGGGGGCAGCTCCATGCCCTCCAAGCGGAAGCCTTCCACCGCCGAGTTCGTTCGTTGGTCCACACAGGCATTCTTCCACGCGTTCAGGCGACTCTTGCCCTTCCAGCACGCGACGGACGTCTCGGCCCCGAGCTTGACATCGAGCAGGCGCATGCGCTCGAAGCCCTGCCGCAGATTCTCCAGTAACAGAAGAAGCCGCTTGGAGCGCTGCTGCGACTTGGCGTTCACACACTCCTCAGCTGCTCTGCGAACGCAACGAACAAGTCACGCGTCTGCCACGCAGAAACGCTCTGCCCAGTTCCCCAGTCAAGCATGACGCAGAACGAACGCCGACTATCTCATTTTCACCCTGCCCTCCCCTCACAGAAGCAGAGCCACAAGAAGAACACCGGCTGCCCTCCGGTACAGTACGTTGGCACATGGGGCTGCAAACTCTGCAGGTTTGAGTTTCAGCATCCTGACACTGAAATGCTGAAAAGATGCAACAAAACAGAAGCAGAAGCCTTTCTGAAGTGCTCGACCGCGAGTCCAGGCGCACAATGCCAGGGCAAGCCATGGCCATACACCCGAAGGCCGACCAACTTGCGCTTTCCTTCACCGCCTGCGACATGCCAGGCAGTGATGCTACGCAAGGAATGACGCTCCGCCTATCCTGCAGTGCTCCCAAGCTCCCTGCATGCTTGTTTTCGGCGAAAGCATGCGCAGCTGTGAAAGCACGCTCGCATATGCGGGCTTCTGAAGCATGCCAGTGTGTGCCGTCCTCGCGCAGGCGCGCATAGAAGTCCAACTCGTCACCTTGGCAACACAAGAGAATAAGAAACTACCTGGAGCTGCTTCGAAAAAAAACAACAGCCCTTGCAGCATCGTCTCCACAAAAATCACAAGCCGAAGGTCGGTGGAAACTACAAATCCGCATGTGAGCGCCAGTAACGGGCAAAATAGGTTCATACATATAGAAGGCAGCAGCACTCCAAGCTCTTGAAGGAGACCTCAAGAAAAGCCGATGAGATTCTGTTGTGGCGGCTTGTTTTTTTGTGCCCAAGCAACTGGCATGAGCCACATCCTTCCCAATGTAGAAATCGCACGGCATGCCTTCCGGCTGCTTCCCAGGTCGATACCGCAACGCATAAAAGGCCGCTGTGCCGCCTGTCAGCACAGAGAGACAGAGAGACAGAGACACAGAGAGACAGAGAGACAGAGAGACAGAGAGACAGAGAGAGAGAGAGAGAGGGAGAGGGAGAGGGAGAGGGAGAGGGAGAGGGAGAGGGAGAGGAAGAGGGAGAGGGAGAGAGCCTGCAAGTCAGTGGGTTTAGGGGGCTATGACAAGGAGCTAGATCCGAAGACCGTGGTGAGGGATCAGCATTCAAGGCCTCATAAAGAGTTACCACTGGTACATGGGCCCCATGGTCCTTGCAGCGGCGCCTGATGTGCCAAGAGGTTCGCATGGTTCTTCAAAATCTTCAGCCGGAATCTGCAAGAGTGCAAGGCGCACGACCAGCTGAGCCAGCAGATCGCTGACAGCGGTCATCGGTTTGCATGAATTTCCCAATCATTGCAACATACCGACTACTTTGGTCTCGGTCACTGTGCCTCCTCCGACCCCACAGAGAATGAGGAACTTGCGCGTGACAGGCTTGGACTGTCTGAATCATCCTCACCTCAGGTATAATACACACTTCAGCCTCAGGCAACCTTGGAAAACCGAGAACCGTTCTCGGCCGGTTCTTCTGTGTGTCCCCGCATAACGTATATCAGCTAGGGCAGGTTCGGTCAGGTTGGGGCCCAAGGTGCCGAAAACCAACTCGTCCGTGCCAACAGTATCGGATCAGAGCCCTCGCGAGTTTCTTCCGCTAGTTTGTTCATCGCCCTGGGCCGGTTCGTCTAGGCTGATCTAGGCTGTTCGACTCCGTGTGTCTCTTTCCCGACCCCCCTGTCCTGGCGATCCATCCTCACCCCAACCCACTTCTTGCAAAGTAACGTAAATTGCATCGCTTCCGCCAGCTCGGTGGACCTGCGCAACCCACCCAAGCCCCTCAATATCAAGGCTGCCTTCCCACACAGCCAGGCCAAGGCGGCCGAGTCTGTCTTTATGGAAGACCGTCGCAGGGTCGTTTTCACGGAGGAAGCAAACACCGAGATCAGATGCACTGCCTGCGTGTCACAGTGTCAACCGACATGATCAGGCACGCCATGACATCGCAAACTTCGAAATGCCTTTCGGATCCTTTCGGATATTTTGTCCGAGACCCTACACGGCCGAGGCCGTGGCCGATAAAGTCCCACACGCTGACCCATCCAGTGCTTGCTGCGAAAGCGTCATCGCCTCCCCAATCCCTGAATGTTGTAATACGGCTTTGCATGACATCGCTAGCCCGGTGCTAATCGTCCAGCCACTGGCAACGGCTACTGTATCCATCTACATGCGTTGCTCTTGCTACCAACCTTCTAGGGTTTCGGGGTCACGCCTTCAGGCAACGAACCCTCCAACAGCAATAACCATCAGAGTTCCGCCCATCCAATCCCCGATTTGCAACTGTAATGTGCCAGAAGTATAATGTCAATCTGTTAAACTGCCCTGATGCTTCCGGTCTGACCGAACAGACCTGTACCCTCGCCGGTCCTCCATCGCGGATATTCATCGCGCCATACGGAAGAGCATTTTGCAACCATCTCCACTTGCTGCAGGCGCCCACGAACCGATGAATGAGTAAATTGCGGCTGGCGGCTTGGCAACTAGCTACGTGCTCGGCATGAACTGTAGCCTCATGTCTCTTCTCTCTCATCTCCAAACATGAAGCCCATACAAAGCGTGGGGGCTTTGCGTGTGAAAGAGAAACATTTGCGGGCATTTCCAACTTACATGGATTCCCAGCAGTGCTGACTGGACAGTCTCATTTCAATTGCATAATGCCAACATCCAAACACGGAACATGCAGCCACAACATGCCACAACGATGCTACGACCCCTGCCTGTGTTTTGCCGCTCCCTCCGAAAATCAGCATCCTGCAAACGGTGGTTCTTTCGCATCGTTGCTGCATCATGCTTCTAGGGTAGCTGATGCGTGACCTTCACATGCAAACAGACGCCACACATCCCTGCCTGAACGACGAGAAGGAGAACGGCAAGTGATGTTCACTGCCATATGAACAATGTCATTCGGTGCAAATGTGCGGCCGTGTCGAAAACTACACCGTTTGGGCCAAAGTTCTTCCGGCAACATGTTTGTGGTGGCATCAGCAAACTCCCGCCCAAACCCACAGACCCCTCCCGAGCTGGAAAGCGATTGTCGTCATTGTTGCTCGCACCTTCTTGCATCTTCAGATGCCGGTCGGGGAGTCGGGGCAGCCAGAGGGTCGCTGCTGCTCACGGGCAGCACGCGGGGGGAGGCGGCTGGCGAGAGCAGGCGCTGCAGCGTCGAGTGGCCCGGGAAGGTGCAACGAGAGGAGACCGGCGGCCCACACGGCGGCAAAGGCGAGCAGGGAGGACCAGCAGGCAGTGAGCGCACATGAAGTCTTGCCCACACTTCTTGCACAAAATATGGTACTGGGTGCCCGCCCAACGGCGACTCACGCGGGCAAAAGGCGACTCAGCCCAAGCAACGCCCCCTGAGTGCCAAAATCAACCCACACATGCAAAAAGCAACCCACGGAAAGCCTTTTCCCCAGAGAAACGCCCTTGCCAGGCCTTTTTCCACCTGTCTGAGCGCGGTCCCACGCGCCGGGAGTCGGCTCGGCGGCATCGACCCTCTTCGAGCACCTCATGCCAAGCCGTGGCTCCAGCAGCAGAGGAGTCGAGGGCAAACTGAGGAGGGAGGCGGCAAACGCACGCGGCGCTGCGACGGCAGATGCACAAGGGCGCACCGTGGCATGAACGTCGGCAGCGCCCGCCCGGGCGAGGAGCCGCAGGAAGGTGACGGCTTCGGCCCCCCAGCGGAACACGACCAAGCGGCAGCAGCAATTTTTGGCAACATGAACAAAGTGCACGCGAGACCTAGCGAGGAGTACCGATTCCCGAGGGTTTCGGACGACAATGCACTCTGAAACCCCCATGTCCATAAAACCCGAACCCGGGAACTTGCGTTGAATTAGGGAGTGTGGGGTTCAATAAACCCCCAAGATAACAAGGGGTTAAGGAAGGTACAGAACATAAAACTGCCTGGGGCGCCCATCTCATTAAAACAACCATGCCGCACTACGGTGCTGCAGTGTGACGCTCGGATGAATTTTGCCTACGCGAAGCAGAAGCATGGCCAAACCACGCACAACTTGTGGACTCCACAAGCCCATGATCCACCAGCCCATTGTCACAGATTTTGTACCAAACATCTGCGTTGAGTGCTTGCGACTCAAACAAAGTCAGGGCCGGCCGGCTCATTTTTTGCGCGCGCCTCTTTTGCCGGCAGTCAGCGCGGTCCCAGTGCAGGGGCAACGCACACCACATGCCTACATGCGGCACACTGCTCATGCCAGGCGGAGCGGGGCCCTCAGAAAAATCGGCCAGGATGTCACTGAGAAGCGGTGCCTCACAATCGAGGTTTGCCATTGCGGGGCAAAGCAAGAAAACGGACGTGCTGGCATGGTGGGCGCACCCGGACGCGGCAGCGGCAATGCCGCGAGCCGACCTGCTTGTTGGTCATGCCTCAAGTTCGGACAGCTTTGACGTAGCAAGTGTTTTCCGAAAGCATGGAGTATATGGAGTTCGAGGAATCGTCGTTGGCGACTTCCTGCGGAGGTTGGTCGCGCGCACCCTGGCATAGCAGTTCGCCCCCGCTTTTGAGGCTGCCACGCTACGCCCTCTCCACCCGTGCCGGCTCTGAAACATTCGTGTTTTGTTTTTACTCGTGCATAAATACTTAAACTGCTCACACAACGCCCCCATGCCGAGCATGGCATCATTGTCAAAAAACGAGAATCAAAGTGTTCACAGCTGCACACTAGTCCGTTAAGAATGCACGCTATGCTAAGAATGTAAAGAAAGCACTGCACGCTTGCTTCTTCACATTGGCGGAAAGCAGATGCCGATCGGTTGAAACGGGAAACACCGGAGGTGCCGGGCAGAGAACATGCTGGACCGGAGTACGCCGGGCCAATGAGAAGAGCAATTTTGGCGTGACACAATCAGCAAGAGCTTTCAGCGTGAATGCCCAGCGTCTTGCCCAGCCAAAGGACGCCGCGGCGCGCACTGCTGGCGGCGCAGTGCTCCAGCGGCATCCTATCTCGGAGCCCAGGCAAGGAGCTTTCTGCGGGCCGCCCATCGCGAGTTCGGGGCACGTACAGTGCTTGCATCGCTCCGCGACCTACAGCGCACACCATCTACCTCTTCACGGCGCATGGATGTGGGATCATGTGGGTGATCCGTTCTTGTAAGGTGTGACACAAGCGTTGCGTCGCAGCACAGCACTCCTCCGTTGGCGGTGGCCCCGTAAACGACGACGTCAAGGCGGCGGCGGCGGTTGTGGGCTGGCACGCCTGCTACGGTCGTGTGGGCGAGCCACTGCTGTGGCACGACCTGGCCTTCAGCTCCGACGGCCTCTCGCGCCAGCGTAGCAATCCAGTGCCCGCGATCCCTCAAGTGTCGACCGTGCAGTTGGTCTTCTTCCACAAGGCAGCCGTAAAGGCTGCAGGCCGCGCGCTCTGGCAGTTTGGCAGCATCGCTGCATGCGCGTCCCGCGCTTGCAAGGGAAGGCAGTGGCTGCCTGCCGTGATGAAGTTGCGGCCACATGCGGCGATGACGACTGGAGATTTCTTCACGCAACGCGCGTCTGCCCGATTTTCGCATCCTGGAGGGATGTGTGGCTGCGGCGCTGTGAAACGGCAGGTGTGTATGGAGTTGAGCAGTTTGCTGATGCCGCCTTCTTGCAGCTGCTCTTTACGCCGCATGACCGGCGCAACTCCATTACATTCATGTGTGCCCAGTTGAGCTTTGTGGCAGCCGTGTGTCAAGCCCAGCGTTCTCTGCTGGACGGTCCGAGCATGCAATTCTAAATGCAATTCTGCTCGCACTATGCGCGTTTTCTGCGCGGCGCCCCGCGCCCAGCATCTGCTCCGCAATGTCCCCCCTGCAGACATAATGCCGTGCGCTCGTGCTCACGACGACGCGGTCTGGGCCGTTGTTCACGGTCTGCTGGGCGACCAGGGACCCGGCGAGGGGGACGCCTGGGCAGCTGCTCGCAGGGTTGCTTTCTTGCCGCCGAGCCTGGGAGGTCTTGGCCTCTTGGCAGCGGAGCGGGTACGGCAACATACTGGGCGGCGTGGGCAGATGCGCTCCCAGTGTTGCGCGAACGTTCCCCCGATGCGGCGGACAGGCTCGTGCGCGAACTCGAGGGCGCACCGTCGGCACCTTGCCTAGGCGCGCCAGCTTACTGCGGAGGGCTTTTGAAAGCAGACCCGACTGGGAATCTTGCGCCCGAGGCGCTGACGTACCAGCGGCTGAGGGCGAACTCGGCCTCAGAAGCGCTGGTTGGCAGCAACATGCCGTTCTCGCACCTCACACTTCCTTTCGAGAACGCACGTTGCTTCCGGCCTTGGCTCCTGCCGCTCGAACCCTCCTCCACTCTCAATCCGGTCCGCATGCCGGTATGTGGCTGGCCGCGATGCCTGCGGATGCGGCGTCCACCCTCGCACGTCGCAATGCGGCGCCGCCTTCGCTTGCCCCTGCCCCTCACGGACCTGCGCTGTGGAGCGGAAGGCCGATATGGTTGTGGGGGCGAGGTCGATGCGTATGGAGACCACCACTTCGCCTGCCCCCGCACTGGTCTGCTGCCTCGACGCGGATTCGTTGTGGAGCATCATCATCATCATCACCATCATGCGACATCGGAGATCAGGAGCTTGACGAGTCCACAGAGGAAGCGGCTGCCTAAAAGGCTCGGGGAGTAGTCCACTCTTGTTTCGTTTGAGGCCGTGTGCTGAAGATCAAGAAATGAATGACCACCACACCGAGCACGAAGGCAGCCGGGACCGTCCACTTGCCGACGACCACCACCAAGCAAACATCCCCGACAGTGGACCTCCGCATCAGTGGCCCACAAAAGTACACAACAACGGGATGTGGGCTGCATGAAGCACTTCCGGTTCGAACAAACGTTGGGCCCAGTGCGCTCCATGAGGGGTTTCCGTGCCCAACTCGTGACATGGCCAGCGCAATTGGTCCATACGCCCAGCACGCTCCCCTTCGTCCGGTCTCTGCGGACCGGAAGCCGACCAGAGGGGATCGAAGTTGCGCCTGCCCCACCGTCGAGGGTGAGCGGCTGGTCAATGCCGGGGAAGCGCCCCCATGCAGGTCGCCGCAGCGTCATGCGCACGGGCAAACTCCCCCGTAGTGCCCAGGGGTAGGACGCGTAGAAGAAAGCTATTGTTGCGTGGCGTCGAATGAGGAGCCGCAACCAGGCGGCTTGCAAGTGGCCACCAGGGCCGCTTTGTCGGCTCGTTTGGCGCGAAAGCTGGCCTGGACGAAGCCATCACTGCCAAGAGCCGTACCGAGCACCACAAGCCCTCCGCGATCTGCGGATAATTACAGCCCAGTCCCCAACCCACGCCGGCGGCTCCGCCAGCCCCGCCAACACTTTGCCCAAGGAGCCCGTTTTTTCCAAATGGAGTCCAGATTCGCATGCGTTTTAAATGAGGAACCCAGCAGGTCCAGGGATACCACCTATATCTCATCCAGAAACCCGAACAGTTCCTCACACGAGCGCTCGCAGCCCGCTGTCTCCCCCGCCCTCAAACATGGCTGCGCGGGAGATGCGGTCATACGCGCCTACGCCATGCACGCATAGAACCGTGGCGCGCGGCTGCAGCTCGGTTGCAAGGTTGGACCAAACCGATGCTGCACCTGACAAAGCAGTTCGCCTGGCCAGGCAAAAGCTCGGAAGAAGGCGACGAAGCAATCTCGATGAGGAACGTGCAATTTTCCAGTCGCGTTGATGGCAGGGTTTCCACGCGACGCCATAGCAGTGCCCATGTCAGATCCGAGGAAAACCATGACCCCACCTGGCAAAAGCTTGAAAAGACCCACTCGATCCCCTCTTCAAGAACTCGATGATGACGAAGACCTCGAGCTTCAGGAAGCTTCCGGATCATTTCAAGGTGGAGCAGTTGCTCAGATGGCTAATGTGGTTCGTAGCGAAATCCAGCGTGCGCTAGCTCCGATGGAGCAGCAGCTGAGCCACATTCATGTTTCCTTGGGCCAGAGGGTGCAGGAAATGGAAAACACAATGTCGCAGCAGAGCTACCGAATTGAGAAGCTGGAAAAGTTGTTTGAGAACGAGGGGACTCCGCGGTCCACGACATCAGAGAAAGATATGTCTTTGGAAAAGAAGATTGCGGATTTGCAAAACCAATTGTCAGCATTGAAGCAACTAGACACCAACTCGCAACCAGATCACATGCGTACCATGGTGGTCGGAGGACTAGGAGGCTTCTCGTGCACACAGGAAGCAACAAGTTGGCTCACGGACAAGCTCAGCATGTTGAATAGCCCGCCACACATTGGGAGTTACATCAAGTCGCAAGATTTCCGTGGCTTGTTGTTCGCCAAGTTCAAGTCCACAGTGGACCGTGATACAGCTGTTGCATTGCTCAGAAGTGCTGAAGTCTTCGAGCATGGTAACAGGGTATGGGCAACACAGGATTTGCCGCTTGAAAAACGTGCTCAGAAAGTTTTCTTGATGGGGTTACGCTGGCAGCTTGGCGAGTGGGGCTTTGTCAAGCGTGAGATCGAGCTTGATGCAAATTATGCTTGGTTGAAAATCGGTCCCAAAGTTGTTGTCAAACTTGCCATTACCAACGGCAGGTTGCACTGTGATTGGGAAGACACGTGGGCACAATGGGCAGACTTCCAAGACAGCAACGAGTTGAATCAGCTTGTGGATCGTGCCAATGATATGTTGCAGAAATCGTCAACGAGAAAGGGGCATGGCAAAAGCAAGCATGCCGTAGCCTAGGGACAGCTCCGTTCGAGTCACGTTGTTTCACGAAGGTCGCTCACTTCTGGTCATGTTCCAATTTTCGAGGTGAATAAGCCGACTGATATGTTACATTTTTCGTCCGCTTCCCAAACCACTGGTAGGAGACCTGTATTTTCTGAGGTTGCCGACACCGAGACGTACATACATGAGAGTTCCAGCAATGGTGGGTGCTTGCATGAGTTGGTGGTGTATACAAAAAATGCTCGTTTACATTCCGATGCAAAATTTGCAGAATTGCTTGGTGAACTACATGACATTGGTGACACGTGGGATGTTGTCCTTTTCAGCGAAACGAGACGGGCATCTGGTGCAGTTGATCTTGATGGGCGACATCGATTGTACTCTTCACATCAGCCGACTTCATGTGCAGGAGTCGCGATTCTAGTTCATGAACGACATTGCAAACATGTGAAGCGAACAGTTGTCGTCAATGAGCGCTTGATGTATGTGGATGTCACAACTTTCAACAAAACTGTCCGATTTGCAGCCGTTTACATGCCACATGCGGGTTATCCTGACCCTGATTTGCGGCTTGTGTATGAGCGTTTGCATCAGATTTTGGAAGATGCTAGATCCAAGTCTTTTGCATGTATCGTGGGAGGTGATTTCAACACGCAGCTACATGTGGGCCTACGTGGTGATTTGTTGCAACAGACATTGCACATGTATCAATTGCACGTTGCAAATGGTGACTCGGAACCTGACAATTCGTGGACATTTTGCAGTTCTATGGGAATCAAACGTCGCATTGACTACATTCTTTACACGCGGAACATGTCTGCTCGACATGCTGAGGCGTCAGACGATTTAGATTTGGGTTCCGATCACAGGTCGGTGGTAGCAAAATTTCACAGATTGAATTTCCGTCAAAGCAAGCGACGGAACAACCATCATCGTGTGCAGTACGATTGGAGTCCTGATCACATTGTTCGTTATCAAAGATCTTTGACGAACAGCTTGGCCAGAGAGACACCAACATGTTTTGCTGATATCGAGTCGTGTGTCGTGACTTGCGCTCAGGATGTGGAACGCCAGACAGTTGTTAGCGAACCCAAGCTTTGGCAGAAACCGAAATTGCAAAATTTGATGAGACTTCGTCGCGGTTGCCGTGACAAGGTGGAACGTTGCAGATTGTCCAAGGAGATTCGAACGGAGTTGCGACGTGAGATGCGCCAAAAGCGAAATGCAAAGTTAGATTCCGTTCTACGGGAGTTTAAAGACTTCAGCCGCTTGGAGTCTGTGTGGCATGATCCCGTCAAGTCTTCCCGATCTGTTCGCGCTCAAGATCCTTCTCCACATGATTTCGCCGAATATTTGTCGGGTATCTTTGCTGCAGATGAGGACAATGGCCAACATGTAGCATCCAGACGGGGATTTCACATCCCGGCCTTCACCTTGACAGAATTGAAGTATGCATTACACCGTCTTCGCAAAGGTAAATCAGCTGATTCGCAGGGTGTGGTTTTGGAAATGCTGTGTTATGCTCCCGATGACCTCTTAATTCCCCTTTTGGAGTTATACAATCGGTTCTTGCAAGATGGACGCATGGATCCATCGTGGAAACATACAGTATTCACAATGTTGGCTAAGAAAGGAGACAGGTCCAACGTGCAAAACTGGAGGCCTGTTGCTTCGCTGAAGATGATTTACAAAGTGCTGTCCAAATTGGTGCATGGACGATTGCAACCCCTTTTGGACAAAGAGCAATCAGTTGAGCAAATGGGATTTCGACCCGGCTCTGGCGTTGATCATGCGTTATGTGTATTTGACAGTGTATGTGCAAAGGCGATCGAATTCGACTGCGATGTTTGGTTTGCCAGCATTGATTTACGAAAAGCTTTCGACCAAATCCATCATGAAAGCTTATTCAAGGCATTGCAAGAGCAAGGAGTTCCCACTGAGTACATCGCTTTGTTGAGGACTTTGTATTCTCAACAAACTGGATCTGTCGCTGATAGCCGTGCTTTTCCAATTCGACGCGGAGTGAAGCAAGGTGATGTCATCAGTCCTATTTTGTTCAATGCTGGGCTAGAACACGCAATCAGGATGTGGAAGGCACGTTTGATTGACCATGGCATCGACATCGGCTCTACCGCGAATTTGACTAATGTGCGTTTCGCTGACGATTTAATGATTTATGCCAAGTCGTGGCGTGAGCTTGTTATCATGCTGGAGTCATTGGAGGCTGACTTGGCGTCAGTTGGCTTATCGTTGAATGCAGCGAAAACTCGAATTTTCACAACAGCCATTTCGCCAGAGGTTGCTTACATTGACGTTGGCGGTGAAATGATCCAGGTTTTGGGTGACGGAGAGACACATATGTACCTTGGACGGAAAATTTGTGGCGACCTTCGACGCCAATCAAGAACAGAGCTGGCGCATCGTATCAGTGCAGCGTGGGGAAAGTTCAATAAGCTGAGATTCATATTCGTGAACAAGCACCTGTCAATCAAAGGCAGATTGAAGCTTTTCAATGCCGTGGTCACTCCTACGGCACTGTTCGGACTTTCTACACTGGCACTGACGGCGCGACAGCTGGAACAGCTTGATATATGCCAGCGAAAGATGTTTCGAAGCATTGTTGGATGGAGTCGCGACGCAGATGCAACTTGGGAAGAGACGATGCGACGCATGAATGCCCGGGTATCGTCTGCTCTCAGGCAACATCCTGTGCCTTCGTGGTCCAGTGTTCATCGTGCTAACCAGCACAGGTTCGTAATGAACCTGACTGCGAAGAATGCTTGGCCATTATGCGCTGCAACCTGGAGTCCGTCATCCCAGCACAATTTCAATAGTGTGCCGAGACGACGACCTGGTCGCCCCCCCAAGCGATGGGATGATGAGTTGAACAAGTTTGTAGTGTCACAGTTCCCTGGTTGTAGTTCGTGGTCTGATGTAGCTCATCTGCCAAGATGGCCGTCAACAAGACATGATTTTGTACAGTTTGACACGGCCTCGCACATTAATTAGCTCGTAACACCCACCGTTGTCCCTTGTCCTGAAAGGACCGTAGTCTTCGTGACTCGAACGGGCAAAGTGCAAAAGTGCAAAGTTGATGGGTTTAGCCAGCCTCACCTCACGCAGCCTGACATGGATTGGGAAATGGAGGATTTCAGTCAGCACTCTCATGTGGGAACCCGGAACGTTTTTTCTCGGAATATTTTCCGTAGGTATCCGTACGTAATTAACGTTCAAAAAAGCGAATTTTAAAACAAAACACTGCTCCGCTGATCAAACCGACGCGGGCTTCAGGCGGGACTGGCGGCGCAGTGCTTCCCGTGCCCTTGAAAGCAAGTCTGAGTCGGCCGGTCATTATGAGTAAGGTTCTCCAAGCCTGCGGTCCTACACTCCTACACTCCTACACTCCTACACTCCTACACTCCTACACTCCTACACTCCTACACTCCTACACTCCTACACTCCTACACTCCTACACTCCTACACTCCTACACTCCTACACTCCTACACTCGAACACTCCTACACTCCTACACTCCTACACTCCTGCACTCCTGCACTCCTGCACTCCTACACTCCTACACTCCAACTCTCCTACACTCCTACACTCCTACACTCCTACACTCCTACACTCTACACTCCTACACTCCTACACGCCTACACTCCTACACTCCTACACTCCTACACTCCTACACTCCTACACTCCTACACTCCTACACTCCTACACTCCTACACTCCTACACTCCTACACTCCTACACTCCTACACTCCTACACTCCGACACTCCGACACTCCGACACTCCGACACTCCGACACTCCGACACTCCGACACTCCGACACTCCGACACTCCGACACTCCGACACTCCTACACTCCTACACTCCTACACTCCTACACTCCTACACTCCTACACTCCTACACTCCTACACTCCTACACTCCTACACTCCTACACTCCTGCACTCCTACACTTTTCAGTACGATTGTGGCTGCCCAATCCTCAACACCAGCACGCTCGGTGATGTGTCTGGTTGCTGCTCGACACTGGTTATCGCACGAAGGCTCCTTGCAGCGCGCGTTGCTTCACGTTGTTTCCAAGTGTTCTTTGTTGTCACAAGACAAGCCTTATCAGAGCAGAATGTTTCGTGTTTTCCCTGCATAAACACGTCCCCCTACCGTCCTTCCTGCGTGATACACGGACGCACGTCGGTTACCGACGCCTGCTCGGCCAGCATCGCAGAAAATAGTGCCGTGGAATGTGGGCACCGGATCCGAAGTTTCATATGCATCGGCGGACATTGTTGACTAACTGACAAGCAAGCATTTGCAAAGACCAGATTGATTCCGCAGCACTGCAAATGAGTAGGGCATTCATCCAAGTTCGCGCCGCACTGCAGGGTATGCTGCAGCGCTGGCAGAATCACGTCTCCAGAAATTGGTCGGCACAGACGGCCCGCAAAGAAGACTCGCAATAAGGCGTCAAAATGGCTCGCCCACTGCTCCGCGCTATGGCGACACTGACCTGATAGGTGGCGTGTGCCAACCGCTGAATCACCAAGGCCTCCTTGGCGAGACCTTGCGATTCAACCCTGTGTTGGCAAGTCAGTTCAACGTCCATGGCCGCAGCCCACGGTTTTGCCACCGGAAGTGCCCAAGCCCTCCAGTGCAGTTCGCTCCCGTTGCGCTAACTACAATCATCGAGTAGCAGTCCAAGACGTGGCAAGAGGACATCAGCAGGGCATCTCCGCTCCGAGGCTGTCTTGAGCGCCCCTTGGCATTCGTCGCGAGTGATGCCGCGCTCCTCATTTTGTGGAGGACCACGGCATCACCACCCGACATGCAGGAAAAAACGCCTCGCCCACGAAAACCTTTTTTCATCTAGCAACTTTTCTCATTATTCTGCAAAACATCGTCGTCTTCCGAAAGCAAAGATACTTAATATGATATAGCAGCCAGATAGTCCCTAAGATTTTTCATTTCCGACAAAAGTGCCAACACCCTCCAGTTTGGATGATCACTCCCAGGCTCGGTCCCCCAAGACATGCTCATGCTTCTAGGAACCCCAAAAATGGCTTGGTTTTGGTGAAGCCACTCGGCCCCTTGAACCCTGTCAGCTACGGAAACGCGGAGCGGAACGCGCTCTTCATCGACGGTGTTCTAATGCTTGCTTGCTTGGGTATGCTTGGGATGTCCTTCAAACCTTCCCTCGCGACCGCAAAGATGCACCTTGCGATTCACAGGCTTCCTACAAGAACTGCTAGACCTCAGCTCGTTCTGTTGTTCCACTTTTCGCGCACTTGCGCGAAACCTTTTCTTCGCGGCGGGAGTCCGTTCAGTGTGCGTGATGGAACCGAGGCATGACGGATGCAAAGCATAGCAGTGCACTTTGCACGGCCAACCTTGTGTTTTCTAGGAGGCTTCTGGGCCTTGGCTCACCGAAGCAGCGAACGGCACTCGGGCAGTTGGAACCGATCCCCATGGGATCGAACAGCTTTCCGAAGTGAACGTACAGAACTCTGGCATGGACCCTGCAACACAAAGCCCTGATTTACGCAACTGGTCTCAAGGTTCACGAAACTCACAACGGGCTCGCCGATGAGTGCCTTCTCACAGCAAACCGCCAAACTTCAAAAAACATTCGAGTGACAAGCCACTTAGAGGATAATTGGCACCACCCACCCCAAAAAGACAAATCACAATCTTAGGAGAACTATCTTATTCCCAATACTTACTTCTGCCGAAGTGCCATAGCTCAAAGAAGGCCAGGGGTTCCTTATAGAATTTGGTTCAGGGTTTAAGGTTAAGGGTTTTATCAAAGTTTTAGCTTCTCGGATTCTCCAAGAATGTTGTAACTAGATTGTAATTATGATATATAGCTGCTTATGTATGAATATTAAACTATAACTATGCAGTCTGGGTAGTTACATCAACGTCGCCCAACTTCAGGTGATGTATATTCCCAAGCTGGGCAAGGCTTGGTTGTTTCGGTTTGTTGTTCATACTACGCATTTTGAACTATCATCTCATCTAAGAACCGTGTTGTTTCTTGTAGATATTCACAAGGCAAATTATTGTCTATCTTTTAAATCACATTGAAAATCTTTTTGGTTAAATTGATATACCATTTGATAATCATGAAAGTAACCACATAAGATATCTTTGAAATAGTTCTTTTTCTCCTGATGCCATTTATAGAAATCAAATTTATTTAGGGTCTCATACATTGTTTTCATTTCATTTGTATATTTAGTAAACGGACATATGAAATCATCAAATCGGGCACCCGTGGTGTCAGACACCAGAGTCAGACACCGTCTTGACCCGATCGGGGACCAGAGACCCTCCGAGTCGCACACCTACACAGCAGTATCGGTGACCACCCCGGAGCGGTGTCAGGAACCCAGAAACCCCCTCACAGCCCCAAGCATGCCTCTGTCTATGCAGCTCCCAGGGCCCCTCACAGCCCTCACGGCCCCTCCCAAGCTCTCCTTTTTTTCGTGTCTACGCAGTCCTCACAGGCTCCGCTAGCCGTCATGCATTTTTGCACGACGCCGTTTGATCAAGTAAGGATGCTTCACAAGGTCTTTGGTTTTCGAAGCCCTGGTTTTTGGGGATCACGAAGGCTTAGGGGGCTCGGTTCATCTCGCACGTCGTATCTCTCTGGGTCGGCTTCATCGGCCCGCAATCGAGCATCGGTGTGACAGGAATGAGGCGCTTCGCCAGGCCCCGAGGCCATGAAGCAAACACCAAGAACTACGACGATCAATTTCTTATGGCTCTTACATGCTTCTTCCTACATGGCTGGGAGAAAAGCATGTAAGAGCCATAAGAAATTGATCGTCGTAGTTCTTGGTGTTTGCTTCATGGCCTCGGGGCCTGGCGAAGCGCCTCATTCCTGTCACACCGATGCTCGATTGCGGGCCGATGAAGCCGACCCAGAGAAATACGACGTGCGAGATGAACCGAGCCCCCTAAGCCTTCGTGATCCCCAAAAACCAGGGCTTCGAAAACCAAAGACCCTGTGAAGCATCCTTACTTGATCAAACGGCGTCGTGCAAAAATGCATGACGGCTAGCGGAGCCTGCGAGGACTGCGTAGACACGAAAAAAAGGAGAGCTTGGGAGGGGTCGTGAGGGCTGTGAGGGGCCCTGGGAGCTGCATAGACAGAGGCATGCTTGGGGCTGTGAGGGGGTTTCTGGGTGCCATCCACAGTTCCCGACTCGATCCATGCTATTCCCTGACACCACCCGCCCCGGTCGGCAACCCGGCTCGTTCCGTGGCCGACACCGCCAGCATAGGTAGACGACCCCGTGTGTTGGTGACCGACCCGGATTTTCCCCTCATCAAATCCATTCCTTAACTTACAACATTCGCAAGCATAGTTATCTACAATGTGAGTTTTACAGATACGCAAGACATCGCATTTACCTAGCAAAATTTTCTGTCTGTTCTTGGCTGGGATACACTTCTTGCAGTTATTGAGATAAATATCATGTGTGTATGTCACTCTAAAACACAGATGTTTCATCATCACTTTCACTTTCATATTCACTCTGACTTTCATGTTCACTGTCACTCATGTCCACTATAACATATTGAGTTGTTATTTTGTAAGTAATGCTGTTATACAAGAATACGCATGAAAATATACTAAATTACTAGCCCGTGCCCCTTTTTCCCGAAAGCATCGCGAAGGGTTCTTCCGTGCGGAACCCTCTGACCCAACAACATAGAGTGAAGTGCATAGAGTGAAGTGCATAGAGTCAAGTGCATAGAGTCAAGTGCATAGAGTTAAGTGCATAGAGTGAAGTGCATAGAGGCAAGCGCATAGAGTCAAGTGCAT